AGTCCAAGATTAACTCCCCAGAGGAGCGCTCCAAGTGCAGGCTCTCAGCGCTACATGGGAAGGGGCCATTTGCTTCAGGCACCGGAAGTGCAGGAAGCAGAGCTGATGTTACTAGAACAATGACAGGACTCAAAGGAGAGGTCATCGCTTTATTATAGAGTTGAGAAACATTGACTGTCACCCACTGGTTGTCCCCCATTGGTTGATTCTTGTATGTGCCCTGATGAGGCATTGAACCCGTGACTTTGGGGTATCCAGATGATGCTCTAACCAGCTGAGCTACCTGGGCAGGGCAACTGTGCCTCTTAGGAAGGGCCTGAAGGATCCCATTAAGGCCTCCTGAGTTTCACATTGTCAGACAATTTAGGTCTGGGAGGTTCTGAAGGCAGATGCTGGAGTGCAATTACCTGGACGAAGAGACTGAGCGGCATCTCCAGGCGAGCTGGCTGCGGTGAGGGAGGCAGATTTGAAGTCATCTGAGGGGTAGGAGGCCACTGCTCCGGGCCTTTGTTTATGGTGTGCACGTTCCCGCAGCTGTGAGAACATTGGGCCGTGAGCTGGTCACTCCTCCCCCTTAGCACGGGCTAGCTCTGTTTGCCTAGGATAGGTATTGCTTTTCCAGTTTAAATTCTGGGTCACTCATGTGGGAGGCTACATGAATAGTTTTGTGCTTGTCTTCTTTTCTAATCACTCAGCTTTGGGGCTCTTCCCCTCACCGTCATCTAGTCCTGTTCAGTTTTGTTACGTTACCTTCTGTCTTCCCCTTGGCATTCCCGCTGTCTGGTTTTGGTACCTGCACCTCTCTTTTGGGCCACTGCGTTAATCCCCTCACGGATCAGCTAGTCCATCTTGCACAGATGAGAATGTTCATCTTCTGAACACCCCGTTTCCTGCTCCAGAACCGACAGCCAGGATCTGTCAGGGATCCAACCAACAGTTGAGGGCCTTCTCCAGCCCCCAGCCCATTGTGACAGCCTTACCTTTCAACCGAAGTGCTACGCAAACCCACTCAGCTACTCGCAGGCCTCAGAACGGGTCCGGCAACAGAGTCGCTTTTCTTAGCCACACTTTTCAGAGTGGCTAAACCTTCCGTAGCAAGCGAACGTGGGATCCACCTTACGCTTTATGAAGACTTCGATAGTCTGGGCCCTTTTCCCACGGAAAGAAGTCAGCTTCTTTTCTGCATTTGGAGGGAAGTAAGGAAGGTGACGTGCAGGTGAGAGAAAGTATTACAGGACAGTGAAGACTGTGCTCTTGAGGGTGGTTTTACTTGGGGGATATGAAAAGAGGCATTTCAAAGTTGAACGCAGAAACTGGACAGGGCTTGCTCGAGGCAAAGATAGACGTTTTGCTAGATAAATTGTATACCCGGGGCGTGACTACCCACCATGACCTGCTCGCTTAGAGACCTGCTCAGTCTGTGATCAGATCCCCTCTGAGGTTCCTTTCCATAGACCCCCTTTTTGTCCGCACTTCCCTAAACAGACCGCACTGCTGGTCACCGAACAGTGATGGGGGCAGAGTAAGCTGTCATGGCATGTCAGTTATTTTGAGCTGAAGATATTTGAGTTCCCCAAATTCCTCATCTCCCTGGGGGAAAGCATGCCTCCCCAAACAACTCATTTGCCATAAAACACCCCCAAGGGAGCAACTCCTATCTCTTGAGAGATTTGTACCACACCCCAAAACACTGCCTTCTATGTTTTTGTGCTTTGGTACTAAGTACTGAAAAGTATTTATCTCCTATCTGTTCTAAGGGTCCAGTTATCTTTCCCAAAAGTCATTCGTTTTAAATGCTCTTTCTGCCCCGGCCCCTTTTAAGGAGCCATCTGTTCTCTGCCCTTCCCCGTTCCCTGTGAGGGTAGTATATAAGCCCCAAGTTCTAGGACATGCATTTGTCTGTGAACTCCCAGATTCGTAGTTAATAAAAATCTTTTCTCTTACTGATCTGTTCTTTGTCAGCTTAATTTGCAAGGCTCCAAACACTGCTTCTGAGAGAGAGTAGAGAGCATTTTTCTCCCTACAGTAAACAAGGTGATGGTTCTCTACAGAGAAATATTCCAACAAAAAAAGAAGAAGAAGAAGAAGTAGCCCTGGCTGGTGTGGCTCAGTGGATTGAGCATCAGCCTCCCACCCGAAAGGTTGCTGGTTTGATTCCCAGTCAGGACACACCTGGGTTGTGGGCCAGGTCCCCAGTTGGAGGTGCACAAGAGCTACCTGTTGATACTTCTCTCACACATAAATATTTCTCTCCCTCTTTCTCCTCTCCTCTCTAAAAAGAAATAAATTTTTGGAAAGATGGCCAAAAAATAAATAAGAAATAAGGAAAGAGAGAATACTATTATTTTGCAACCTCTAATGAAGTCAGGGGTCTAGGGATGATCCACGGCTGCTACCATCACAAAGAGAGACCCGATGAAATGAAGACATCCAGACGCATTGCGCCTTAGGGCGCAAGCACAGTAAGTACTTCCTGTGATGAGACCGTGTCCAAAAGTGTCACAGCCCAGATCACTCCTCTGTTCCAGATCCTGCTACCAATTTATAGGAAATCATCTAAGGACAGAAGAACATATCAGACTACATCAAGTAAAAAAACCAACAGACCGATAAGTTTTGCAGGATAATTGATTCACTGTTTTCAACATTGAAATTTTAGTGGGGGAGAGAAAGAGAATGTAAATAAAAGACCGAAAGAAAAAAAAGCAGGCAAAACTAAACCTTTATGTGTTCAGAAAAATGCAGAGGTAATACACTGTAAAGAAAATTAAGAACATGATGACCTTCAAAGTCAGGAGAGGGCTATTTTTAGCAAGGAGGGAGGAGTTATAAATAGAATTATAAAGGGACTCTCAGGGACACTAAATCCTGTCTTCTGACATGGATGTTGTTTACAGAGGAGTTTGCCTTATAACAATTCATTCATCTATACATTTGTTTTATGTGGGTTTTAAATCTTGTATTATACTTAAGCATAAAAGGCTCTGTGTGTGTTTAAAATTATATCGGGTAGCTCACAATCCCCAGGACCACAGAAAACGGTTTCAGAGTCTGCGCAGCCCAGACTAAAGCTCAAAACCAGGCTCAGCAAAATGGGTCGGCCGAGGCCCTGGAGTCCCTGCTGCTAAGCCTCACGCTCCAAGAATTGTCCCTGTTACCTCTGGAAATACAGCTGCCACCAATGCAAAATCCTTGCTAATAAGGTGGATGCTGTGTCGCCTCTGCTGCTTCGTTTCAGTAGTTGCTGCTGCGAAGTTGGGTGGTTGGGTTGGGTGAAGCCCAGAATAGGTGCCCACGTTCCATATGGCAGGGGAGTGGGGGAAAGAGGATCTTGTCTTCGGATTCAGTAGTGAGGGGTGAGCTCTGATGCTACAGTGGAGGAGTCAGGTGCTGGTTGGACAAAAAGAATGACTAATGTCCACTCTGCTCATGATGCTCAAATTTAATTGCGTGTAAGAATCACCTGAGGTGACTTCCAGTCAAGATGGCGGTGTAGGTAGCTGCGCTACTTGAATCCTCCCACAGCCATATCAGAATTACAGCTAAATTACACAACAGCCGTCATTCAGAACTGCCTGAAGTCTGGATGAATGGAAGTCCTACAACTAGGGATTTAAAGAAGCCACGTGGAGACTGGTAGGAGGGGCAGAGAGCAGAAGGGGCTGGTCCCCCACCCATGTATGGCAGATAAAAATCAGGAGGGATATCTTAGTTTGGGGTGCCCCCTGAGGAGTGAGGGGTCTTAGCCCCACACCAGGCCCCCAAGTCCGGAGTTCCAGTGCCAGGAAGAGAAGTGTTCATGACTTCTGGCTGCAAAACCTGATGGGGATAGAGGCTGAGTGAGATGAAGGCTTCTAGAGTCCCAGGCATTTCCCCTTAAAGGGCCTGTGCTTGAACCTACTCAGACTCACCCCTGGTGAGCTCCACCACTGGGGCAGCAGCTTGAAAGGCACCAGAGACATACAGGGAGGAGCTGAAGTGTGTGGCGGCAGGGCGAGAGCTGGGGAGAGCTGGAGAACTGTTGGCAGGGGCCATTGTTTCTTTGATGAGCCCTCCCCCAAGAGAGGGCAGGTGGGTGCCATATCTGAGTCTCTATCAAACTGGCTGTCACTGTTTGCTCTGTTCTGGTGATTCCCTGAGACCCTGCCCCACCAAACTTTTGAGACCACCCAAGCTGTTTTCAGTGCCTTCCCATATGAATGGCTTATCTGGGCTCATGCTTCAGACTTTCCTAAAATCCCTGAAACAGGCGGCATCTGGCCTCAGCGTGCCCCATACCTCTCGCTAAGAGGCCCCAGGCCTGAGCCAGCAGCAGCTGGCCATGGTTTGTAGCTTGGGCCACGCAAAGGTAGCAGGCAGCTGCAAATCACTTTGTAACTCAAACCGGGAGGCCCTGGGCAGAACGCAAGCGGCAGCTGACCTTGCCTTGCACCTCCCGGGAGGCCCCAGAGCCAGTGCACCCAGTGGACAGCTTCAGGCCACGTTGAACCACAAAAACACCTCCACAGTGACACCCTCAAGGGGCAGACTCGGCAGGCACCAGAGCCCTGCTGAAGTAAGCCCTGCTCTGGGGGGCGGGCCCCTGCACAGCTGGTCCTTCCTCCACAGTGTTGGTGGTGAGGTCAGTTCTTGCAGTGGATCAGCCTGGCGGTAAACTCCTCCCGTTGACATGCCAACAGCAATGAAGGCTGTACTGCAGCAGGAGAGGGTACATAGCCCAGTGGGGGTGGGGACGCAATTGGAGTGACCAGCTTGGGTGATCAGGGAAGCTGTGCCACTGGACCCTACAAGGACCTGTGCAAGGACCTGCAATCTCGATCACTCTGTCCAGCAAAACTATCATTTAGAATCAAAGGCAGATAAAGTACTTCCCTGATGAGGTAAAGCTAAAGGAGTTCTTCATCACCAAACCAGTATTATATGAAATGTTAGAGGGTCTTCTTTAAGAAGAAGAAGAAAGAAAAAGATACAAAATATGAAAAACAAAATGGCAACAAATACATATGTTAATAAATGAATCTAAAAAAACAAATGAAGCAGAACAGCAACAGACTCATAAATACAAGAGGACATTTTGACAGTTGCCAGATGAGGGGAGGGTTGGGAGGATGGGGAAAAAAGTGGTGGGATTAAGACGTACAAATTGGTTGTTACAGAACAGTCATGGGGATGTAAAGTACAGCATAGGGAATATAGTCAATGATATTCTAATAACTATGGTGTTAGACAAGTACTAGGCATATTGGGATGATCACTTAGTAAGTTGTATAACATCTAATCACTGGTGTGTACACCTGAAACTAATATATGTTAAATGTAATTGAAAAAAAATATTTTAAAAAAAGTCACTTGGGAAGTGCTTTTAAAAATATCAGTGCCAAGGTTGTACCCCAGCACAACTAATACAGAATCTCTAGGGTGAGATTGGCATGTCAGCAGCTTTTTGCTTTTTGTTTGTTTTTCACTTCCTGTGTGATACGTGTTTGCAGCCAACTTCATGAACCAATGCCTACACCCTCGCCACTCAAAGTGCAGTCCTCAGATCAGCCACACCGGAGGCAACTGGGTGCTTGTTAGAAACACAGAATCTCGGCACACACACACGCACAGCCCTAGTGAATTAGACTCCACAGTTAAACTTGAGAAGGGCTGTTACATACTGTTCTTCCAAGGGCTTCCCGAGAGGCGCCAGCAAGAATACTCCCCACTCCTGTGCAGGGAAGTGACCCCTCCCTTCTCCATACGGATAAGAGCACATTTGCCCTACATTTGTGTTGGGCATTCATTGCAGACTTCTTTCCTTGTGGCTGTCTTCTGTTGACTCATCTACTCGCTGCATTGTACACTCTGGTGGGCGGGCCTCTGTCCTGTGTGCTCTGTGTCTGCACAGCACCCAGGGCGTGGCCGCCCCTGCTGCGGGAGCTGGGGACGCAGGGTAAGTGAGCCAGAGACTTTTTTTTCCTGCTTCCTTCTGTCCAGCACAGTCAGCAGGGATGGTGCTGGCCTCCTTGTTCCCACCCTCACTTGCATGCACTCACATTTGTATTCCAATTTTAAAGCAGCTTCGAATATAAGGAAAAGAACCTTAACATTCGAGTCCAAGGCTATTCCTATCAACTGTCTCCAGATACAGGATATATGGGTTGGGTCCTGTGGATCTCTGGTCCTGGGAGGTGGACTAGGAAGTCCTTGGAGACTCAGTCCAGTGTAAATACTCTATGGTTCCGGGGTTCCCCTCTGCTGGATTAACCAACACACAATACTCTGAACTCTTGCAGGTTGGCAGGGCTGGGTATGGAGAAACTGTAAATTAAACAGAGTCCTTGAGCCACCTTGTGACCATTCTTGGGAACTGCATGTCTTCAGTGTGTCACCTCACACTTCCTCCGAGCCCATCAGTCTGAGACCCATCATGAAGAATTTATGGGGACCAGCCTGCGAACCAAAAGGTCACCAGTTCAGTTCCTGATCAGCTGATCGATGTTTCTCTCCCTCTCTTTCTCCCTCCCTTCCCCCTCTCTAAAAATAAATAAATAAAATCTAAGAAAATGGGACACGGAAAACAGATAGAGCTAACTGCTGTGGGACAGAAGTTACAGCCTAGCTGTGTCAAGGGGGGAACACTGATAAAAACTGGGCAAATTCTCCCCGAGTCCCAAGAGCTCCAGGATTCAGAGACATCAGTTACCACAGGGAAGTTGGACATGTGGCAGGCGGTAGGTTAAAAACGGGGGTGGGTAGAGAGTCTGTATTAAATAAATAATGGGATCCCCCCTTTCCACCCCTTGCAGCTTGGAGTTGCCACCGCCCCTCCTAGATGTTTATTATGTGTAGAAACAGAATGGCACAGCCTCCAGGCTCAAGAACCCCAGACACGGGGGAAAGCGGAGATGAGGCACCGAAGGACCAAAAACGAGGGGTTCAGTCCACAGTGGCTTCTCAAGTGAGGCCCCCTCAGATTTGTTCCTTCCCCCTTCCCCAGGATTTTGGTACCCAGGTACCAAAGGTAGGAGATCAGGAAGGTCTTCTCTGGAAAACCTGGCCCAAGAGAAGAGACTCAACACGGGTGGTTGGAAGTTCAACTACGAGGCCAGCTCGCTGCAGATCATTCTGTGTTGAAGGTCTCCTGCCATCCAGGTGGAAGAACATGCCTGAAGTCTCCATTCTGCCTAAAGCACATGCACATATGACATCATCCTAACATATAGGAAAGTATAGAAAACAAAGATTCCCACACCTGACACCCAGATTTAACAGATATTTTCATTCAGACATTCAGTGCTTTGTGTTAACAGAAAAGAGAGAATAAAACAACAAAAAAAAGGAAATGAAAAAAATGCAGAAAACCAATGAAAGACCCCACACTAACTTGAATTAATGTTTTTGGATATGACATGACATGAAATCCATAAGGCAAGCATAGGATGCTACAGAAACAACGAATGAGGTGTAATCCACTAAAATAAAAGCTGTCAGTGGAAATAGAAAGTTCAAGAGAAGACACAAGCCAAGGAAATGTCCCTGGAAGGAAAACACAAACCAACAAAAAAGAGAGATGGGAATGAGGAGGAATTGATCAGAAATGTCAAGGGCCAATCCGAGGGCCAAATTCCCTCAATTAATTGGAGGTCCAGAAAAAGAAAATAGAGGAACGCAGAAGGAGGGTGACTGTCTGAGGGAGAGAACAAGAAAACACCCCCGAACTGAGGACTAGTCTCCAGACTGAAAGGGCCCAGTACATGCACACGTGCGTGCACACACGTGCACACGCATGCGCACACAGGAAAGCCATCATGGCTTTCAGAATGTCCTGGGTAAAAGATTAAAAAAATAAAAAAGCATCCACAGGGGAAAAAATAGATCACGTACAAAGAATCACGAGCCTGAACGGTATAAATTCCCTTAATCCGGAGACCTAGAAAACAATGGGGATTATCTTCAAAATTCTGAGTGAAAAGAATTTTCCATGTAGAATCCTGTTCTCACTCATATCACCTGTCAAACATGAAATGCGGTATTCAGATACGTACTTCCCCCTCGCTCCCCTGCTCGGGGATCCACTAGAGGACATACTCCAGCAAAATGAAAAAGTCCACGGGGAAGGAGGGAGACTGAGCCCCCGGGCTGGAGGGCTGGAGGGCTGGAGGGCTGGAGGGCTGGAGGGCTGGAGGGCTGGAGGGCTGTGCGGCCAGCCGGCTGGCCGGGAAGCAGCCCACCTGGGGAGGACCTGGAGGTCGTGGGCTCCAGGAAAACACGTGCAGGGGGTTGTGCTGCCGCAGGTTACGCAGCTGCGGGACCACGTGCACACAATGAGGAAAGCTTTCCCTCAGTCAGGGAGAAGGCTCTCCAAGGGCAGGGCGGGACCGGCCTTGTTGGCCCCGGCCCCTAGCCGACCTGCTCCTGGCACACAGTAGGTGCTAACCCAGTAAGTAACGTTAAATGAGCGAGTGAATGAACGACGGTGGGTCAAACTTCACGTCTGTGCTTGAAGTCCGGCAGTAAACCTAACCAGCGTCCTTCCCCCACTGCAGACACCTAGAAATACAAAAAAACATACATTTAAATACATAGTCAAATTCTAAGAAACCAAGAACCACCAAAGGGACAAAAAGGCCACTTAGACATCGTGTTTCAGGCTCTTGTTTACAGATGCCCAGAGATGCCGCCACGAGACACGCTCGTGGCCCCGCAGCTGAGAGGACCTGAGCTGGGCATCCAGGTGGCTCTCCTTCAGCCAGGCTGTTCCCCTTTTGCCTCGGGGCCTCTGCACTCACCCGAGAGCTGGCGCAGCGAGGCGCAGGCACTGCGAGAGAGTAAAACCTTCCCTCCCGGGCTCTGGCCAGTCCTCACGCTCGATGAGACACAGAAAGCAGGGTAAAAGCCCTTCGACTTCCCTTTTCAAACTGGCTGCAGTAATTGCAGAGGACGCTGTTACTCCCGGCCCATGTTTAGTGTTGACAAAAGCAAGTGGATAATTCGGAAAGAAAATGTTTTCTAGAGAGGTGGTTGCAAACCCCACTTAGAACGGGGGGGGGGGGGGAGGGGGGTGGCGGGGATCGCTCTCCGCCCCTCCCCCTCTCCACCTCTCGTAGCTGACACACACGAGTACAGAGCACAGGGGGCAAACACAAGGCCTGCGGCTCAGTCCGGCCCTCCACCTTGTTTTATCCTTGTTTTATCCATCTATAAATATGAATATGTTACATGTGCACATCTTTCTACCTGCAGCCTCATTTCTGTGTAGGTCTCTCCAGCCAAGCGGGGGCATGCGTTAAGAGCTCCAATGTGCTTTCCAAACTCACACTTTGAAGTCTAAAGGCCCTTTATCTCACAGCGTGCCTGTATCTGGATTGAGAGTTTTTAGGGAAATAATGTTAAGTGAGTTCATTTGGGTGGGTCCTAGTCCAATAAAAGCGGAGCCTTTTTACCAAATGCTCAGGTCACAGAGAAGCAGAGAGGAAACACCTGGGGACAAGAAGTTTAAACACACTCACCTGCAAGACAAGGAAAAGGTCCTCAGGTGAAAACAATCCAGCTCATAACCTGATCTCAAACCGTGAGCTTCCAGAACTGTAAGTGAAAAAGTATGTTGTTTACACCCACAACATCGCACTCCGTTTCGACAGCACAAGCAAACTAGTATTCCTTATCGGGGACAATAGAGATGTTTTTGGCAGAACTGCTGACATGGCAAATCAGCGGGCTGAAGTCACGGTCTGGTGCACAGGTGGCGTACACAAGGCCCGTGGGTGGAATTTGGCCCTCCACCTTGTTTTATCTGGCTCAGCACCTCGTTTCCACCGGGGGCAGCGTCGAGCTCTCGCTTAACTGTTACGGAGTAGTTACATTTATACAGTCCTAAAGTTATATTCGGCCCTTTGAAGTCAACCGCGAGACTGACGTGGCCCCGGTCACAGGGGAAATCCCTTTTAAGAGCATAGTGCTTCACGCAGGAGTAGGAGAAATGACCAACGTGAAACTTGCTGAAATATCGTGAATACCAAACATAAAAACACTCTCCCTTGGTTCCAGACCCCACAGCCCCCCACCTCCAGCTCCCACCCTTTTCTCTGTTCCCTTTCACAGCAAAACTCCCGGAAAGAGCCGTCTGGATACTCCCCTCCAATCCTTCTCCTGCTCTCCCTCTTCCATCCGTTAGAATCGGGGCTTCATCCCTGCCACGCACCAGGGGGGCTCTCACCAAGGTCACAGCCGCGGCGCCCAACCTGAGACGCTGGCTCACTTAGTCCCTCTCCTTCCTAAAACCCTCGTTCACCTGGCCCCCAGGCCGCTGCTCTCTGCCTGCCTCACTGGTCCTCCCCAGTCCGGCTGGTGTCTGCATCTTCTCCACCTCTCAGTGTTGCCGTGTCTCAGGACTCAGTTATGGGGCCACTTCATCTGCACCCAGGCCCCAGGGAACCTCCTCCAAGTTCATGTCTTTAGACGCCCTGTGTGTCCCGATGACTCCCCAACTGGTTTACTGTCCTAAAACAAAGTCCCCACCAAAGGCTTCCCACAGCCTCCCCATCTCAGAAGGGGGCAGTGCCATCCTTCCCAGTGCTCTGACCACCCTCAGATCTCGCCCACGCCTCACGTCCAGCTCATCAGCACATCCCATGGGTTGTACGTTCCACGGTGCCCACAGCCCGCCACATCTCACTGCCAGCCACGTCTCACCTGGCCCATCTGCCATCCAAGTGAGTGACAACCCGAGAGCCCAAACAGGTCTGCTTCCTCCCTCGCCCACGGGCTCTTCTCCACACGGCAGACGGCGTGACCCCAAAAACATGTGGGTCACCGCGAGATTCTTCCGGAAATACCTCAGAGGCTCCCTGTCTCACTTGGAATAACATCTGAAGTCCTCAACGTGTCCCCCCTTCCCGTTCTGACCTCTGACAGGCCCTGCCCTGCCTCAGATCTTGGAGGGCGCGAACACTCCGCCCCGTGAATATTGTCCGAGCTCGGTCTGTTTCTCAGACTAGAAATGCAGACGTTTCTAATGTTAACCAAGTCCAACTTACCAATCTCTTTCATGGGTTGTCCTTTTGGGGTGGTTTCTAAAAAGTCATCGGCCAACCCAGTTCACTTAGATTTTCTCTTATGTTGTCTTCTACAAGTTCTATAATTGTGTGTTTTATGTTTAGATCTAGGGTCCATTTAGGATGAATTCTGTGAGGGGTGTAAGGTCTGCGTCTAGATTTTTTTATGTGAATGTCCTGTTACTATTCCAGCGCCATTTGTTGAAAGGCTGTTTTTCTTTCATCATTAAATCATCTTTGCTCCTTTATCAAAGATCAGCTGATTACCTGAAACGAATAAAATTATATTGAGTTTAAACTGTAATTGAAAAATAAAATTTAAAAAAGATCAGCTGTTACATTTGTGTGTTTTTTTTCTGGGTTCTCTATTTTCTTCCATTGATCTTTCGTTCCATTGCTCTTGGGTTACGGGACAATCCCTCTCAGCAAACAAAGGGAAATCTGTTAGATCCTCAGTTCATTCTCAATGATTTACACAAATGATGTTGAACAATTTTCACAGTTTTGCTTCATCATGTGCTGCCCCTTGGGTCCAGATGACACCAAGTCCATCTGAAATGTTTATTTAGGCAAATGTCGTTCTGAATGGTATGAAAGAGAAGTAGCACAAACGTCTCTCTTATGGGAAACAGTTTGAATGAAGTCATTTTTGAAGGATTCTGAAAGTTGTCAGGTTATGAAAATAAACAGCACCATTTAAGTGCAAGAGATGAAAAGGATAATGAAGCTTCGGTTTAAAACATGTCTTAGTGATTGCGAAGCTTAATTAGAAGAGAATTTACAGAATTAAAAATATGAAATAATTAAAAGAATAAAACATGTTGATCCTTGGGGAGGGTCAAGAAAGAGCTTCTCCTCCGAGGTGCCCTGAAAGCAGGAGAGCCCTGTGGCATGGGGGGAAGGGGCCACTGTAAGACACCGAGGAGTCAGCTCCTGTGAGCCCTACCCCTCTCCTGGTCCAAGTGACCCATGGCTCTGGGGGAGCCCTCTCAGCTGGGACCTACAGCAGACGGCCCCGCCGGGGCCCCTTCTTCTTTCTTAAAAACAACAACAACAATGATCAGTGGACTGAGTGCCGGACTGCAAACCAAAGAGTCACCAGTTTGAGTCCCAGTCAGGGCATATGCCTGGGTTGCAGGGCAGGGGCCCAATAGAGGGCTCTTGAGGGGCAACCACACATAAATGTTTCTCTCCCTCTTTTTCTCCCTCCCTTCCCCTCTCTCTAAAAATAGATAAATAAAATCTTTAAAAAATAAATAAAAATAGATAAGACTTGTTACCAATAAAATCATTCCAAGAGAGTAAAAAAAAGGAAGAAACTAAGATGTGACTTTTTTAAAAAAAAGACTTTATTCATTTTTAGAGAGAGGAAATGAGGGAGAAGGAGATGGAGAGAAACATCAGTGTGTGATTGTCTCTGGCACATCCCCTACTGGGGACCTGGCCTGCAACCCAGGTGTGTGCCCTGGCTGGGAATCGAACTGGAGACTTTTTGGTTTTCAGGCCAGCGCTCAATCCACTGAGCCACACCAGCCAGGGCTTATTACTTTTTTCTTAAGTTTGAAATACTGCTGAGAGTCAAGTGTTTTATTTGTTTTAGATAAACATGCGTTATTCACTTGAAAATAAAGCAGCATATCCATTAAAAAATACCCAACTTGTAAGAGGCATGGTTTGATTTTCTGTGTTCAGCACTTTTGACCATAATTCTAGCTTCCTGAAATAAATATTTCATGAGTTACTTATTTTTAGAATGGCGCATTTCAGGAATAATCTCTAGGTGAGGATTGGATCTCAAGTTCTCTTTATTCCTGTAACATTCTCTCTTTTTTTTTTAAAGATTTTTATTTATTTATTTATTTATTGTTAGAGAGGGAAGGGAGGGAGATAGAGAGAGAGAAACATCGATGTGCGGTTGCTGGGGGTCATGGCCTGCAACCCAGGCATGTACCCTGACTAGAAATCGAACCTGTGACACTTTGGTTCACAGCCCGCGCTCAATCCACTGAGCTATGCCAGCCAGGAACATTCTCCTTTTTATCATAAAATATAAACATGCAAAAAAATCCCCTAAATAGGGTCCTTTCTGTATTTCCTTGCATAATAAACTGCATTAGGTAAATTACAGGAGTCAATCAAATTATAGTTATTTCCTACTTTGCAGCATTTTAAGACATTTTATAATTCTCACCACAGAAATAAGAAAGAAAACCTCCGATGAACTGTTTTTCATTGTAGAGAACTGAGGAAAAAGAAACCCCACACACGTGACTGACTTTGATGAGGGCTGAACATCAACAAATTGAACTGGTTTAAAAAAATTCCTCATCTGAAGACAGGCTTATTGATTTTAAAGAGAAGGGAAGGGAAGGAGAGAGAGAGGGAGAGAAACATTGATTGGTTGTCTCTCCCACATGCCCGAACCAGAAACCTAGGCAGGTGCCCTGCCCTGCAATCAACCAGCAACCTTTCGCTTTGCAGGACTAGGAGTCATGTTAGGGCTGTGTATCTCTTTAAGGACGTTGTCTTGTGGGGTTAAGAAACTATATGTAGAGGTACTACGCACAGCACTAAACACAATACACCAGAGAGGGAAGAAATGGATCTGTGTTACACGTTTTCTACATTCAATACGAAGCAGTACAACATTAACTCTATATAGACTGTGAACATTTAAGAATGAATAATGTAATTCCTATAGTAGCTCCCCCCAAAGGGGGAAAGAAGTATTTCACTGAAAAGCCAATAGAAAAATAAAATAGATTTTTTTTTAAAAAAAGAAAAGATCCAAGGAAGACACAGGTGGCCCACAGATATATGAAAAGATGCTCAACATCACTAGTTATAAGGAAAAGGCCAGTCGAAACCACAATGATACCACCTCACACGTGTTAGAATGGCCATTATCAGTAAGACAAGAGATAGCAAGCACATGGCAGGGAGGGAGGATGCAGAGAAAAGGGGGCCTCGCACGCTGCTGGTGGGAATGCAGACGGGTGCAGCCACTGTGGAAAACAGTGCGGAGGTTCCTCAGAACACTAAGAATACTCTGGCTGGTGTGGCTCAGTTGGTTGGAGCATCATTCTATAACAGAAAGGTTGCAAGTTCAATTCTCGGTCAGGGCACATACCTAGGTTGCAGGTTCAATGCTTGGTCTGGTTGTATGCGATCCCTGGTCCAGGAGTGTACGGGAGGCAGCCAATCGACGTTTCTCTCTCACATCGACGTTTCTCTCTCTCCTTTCCTCTCTCTCTAAAAAAGTAATGAAAAAGTGTCTTCAAGTGAGGATTAAAAAAGGTTAAAAAAATTAAGGAATAGGTTCCTCCTGAAAGTAGCCAAAGGTGACCTCTGAAAATGGTTTGCTTTTCCTTGACCCAGAAAACCCTACGAAAATCATGCAGATCAAGAGGTTCAAATCTTCGTGCTCACTTTAAGAACGCATGTGAAACTGGCCAGGCCATCAAGCGTATACACATCTGAAAAGTCAACAAGTATCTGAAGGATGTCACTTCACAGGAGCAACGTGTGCCGCTCTGCCATTACAGCAATGGGGCTGGCAGGTGCACTCAGAGCAAATGGGGAGGGGGCTGGACACAGGGTCGGTGACCCAAAAAGGATGCAGAATTTTTGCCACACGTGCTTGAAAATGCAGGGAGTAATGCTGAACTTAACGCTTTGGCTGTAGCCTCTGTGGTCATCCAGCACATCCAGGTGAACAAAGTTCAAAGTGCCTAAGATGAAGAACAGAACTTAGAACAGAACTTACAGAGCTTATGGGCAGACCAACCCATGCATGGGCCCTCCCTGCCACATGGAGATGGTCCTTCCTGAGGAGGAGCAGATTGTCCCTAAACCGGGAGAGGAGGTTGCACAGGTGTGTACGGTATCCCAGAAGGGCCCGGCTGGTGTGGCTCAGTGGACTGAGTGCCGGCCTGTGAACTGAATGGTTGCATGTTCGATTCCCAGTCAGGGCACAGGCCTGGGTTGCCGGCCAGGTTCCCAGTTGGGGGAGTGTGAGATCGCTGATCGCTGGATCTCTCACACATCCGTGTTTCTCTCCCGCTCTTCCCCTCTCTTAGAATAAATAAATAAAATCTCTTTTTAAAAAGAGATATCTCAGAAGAAACTGAAGAAACAAAAACGTATGGCCTGGGAATAAATTCAGCATAAAATAAATATTGATAAAAGTAAAAAAAAATAAGAATAGAGTTAATGTATGGCCCAGAAACCCCTCTTCTGAGTATCTACCTGAAAAATTTGAAAACATTTGTTCATAAAGATATATGTATCCCTATGTTCATTGTAGCCTTATTCACAATAGCCAAGACATGGAAACGAACTGTCCTTCAACAGCTGATTGGATAAAGAAGATATGTCACATATATTCAGTGAAACACTCCTCAGCCATAAAAGGATGAAATGCTGCTATTTGTGACAATTTGGATGGACCTTGAGAGTATGGTGCTAAGTGAAATAAGACAGAAGAGACAAGAACCATATGGTTTCATTCATATTTGGGCTATAAAATAAGAAGCAACAAATGAACAAACAAAACAAGCAACTAACTCAGTGATATGGACAACGCATGCTGGTGGTCACCAGGAGGGGTGGGGACCCGTGAGGACGGCAGAGGGCGTCACATACGTGGTGACAAGGTGGTGGGAGGAGACTAGTCTGGGTGGTGAGCACACAGCGGGGTATGCAGATGACATATTATAAAGTTGCACACCTGAAATTTATGTAATGTTATTAACCAGTGTTACACCAAGGCATTCAATAAAGAAAAAATGCTAAAACTTGACACAAGGTACTAGACAGAAGAACCAGAGAACAACAGCAACAAAAGAGAGATGAACAGAAAACAATAAAATAGCAGGTACAGAAAGGAGCTTCTCAACCTGAAGGAGCTCATCCATAAAAACCCTACATGTACTTAACGGTGAAAGACCGAAGACGTTCCTTCTAAGATCGGGAACAAGGCGGGGACGTCGCTGTCACCTCTCCGAGTCCACGCAGGCCTGGGGGTCCGTGCCAGCGTGGCGGTTAGGCACAAAGTGAAAATCGTCCGGATTGGAGAGGATCGAGTAAAATTGTTCTTTATGCTCTCAAGGAATCTACAAAAACAGCCGTGAAAACGAACCCTTCACTCTCAGAAGTGTCCCAGTGTGGTCGCCCTGCTCAAGGGAGAGACTTCAGGGAAAAGAGAGTGACTTTAGGTCCGACCCCTTTTCATTCACCGGCTTCTTTCCACCTTCTCCTCCTCCCGCGTCAGACCCTCCATTCCCTTCTAGACGCTTTCCTTTTCTCCTCTTCTACCCGCGTCCCTAGGGCACCTACCTCCCCTCCCATCGACCCAGGCGAGCGTCGGCCTCCCGCCCAGCCGGGTTACCCCAGGTCACACCTCTGGGGCGGAAGGCCGGGAAAGCCTGCCCGCAGCTGCTCCCCGCCCCCGCGGCGGTGCTCCGGCCCAGCCCCGGTTTGGAGTTAGCGCTGGCCGGGAGGGACCTGCCTTCGGATCATGGCTCTGCTTCGTTCTAGCGGCGTGACCTTGGAGCAAAGCATTTCCACTCTTGGAGTCTCCGATTCCTTCCTTTGCAAAAGGCGGAGATGGCACGGTGATCGGAACTGTCTCTTTGGGCTGAGAAGTTGTGTTCATCTTACCTGGCGCCACTTCCCTCCGGGCTCAGGCCTTAGGCGCGGTGGCCGGGGGAGGGATGTCAGTCTTCTGGGAAAAGGGGACTTTGCGTGCGTGTGTCGGGGAGTCTCCCTAGGCTACTGAGGCGGGGACTAGTCCGCGGAGCCCTTGCAGCTTCTCGATCGCCACGGAGCCGTCGCTGCGGGCTCGTCCCGCCACAGGCCTGCACCGGCCCGCATCGCCTGCAGAGGCGCCGCAGGCACGTCCGGGGGAAGGCGGTGCTGAGGCCAGGTGGCCAGGCCCGGGCCACCGCAGCCCCTGGGAAGGGCTCCTCGAGAGGAGCCCCGGAGCCCAAGACCAGAAGGGTTGGAAGGAGGAGGTGAGTAGAGCAGAAAAGGGAGAGCAAATTAAGAGAAGGGACCATCGGAGAGGGGACGCCACCCGGGTGGCCCCTGCACCCCACTTTCCTCACTTACCGAGTGGGAGCCGGGGGCTCACAGGACTGGGGAAGACCGGTACCGGGGCGCTGGAGACTTGGAACGCGCTCTGCGGTGGGGGCCGAGGTGGCGGCGACGACCAGGGGAGGCAGGAGGACGTGCAGCCAAAACCAGATTCAAGTCCCCGCGGCCACTTGCCGCGGGAGCCTCAGTCTGCCGGTCCGTAAGTGGGTTTCATGCGGCGGCCTCGCCGGGCTGCGCGAAGCCGGAGGTGATAAATGTCCCAGGGGCAGCGACCGCTGCTGGGGTTGCAGCGGCCGAATTCAGGGCAGGAGCCGTGGGAAGCGGAGCAGGATCGGGCGCGGGTGCGCGGCGCCCCCCGGAGGCCGCGGCTCCGCGAAGGAGGGCAGGCGCCGCTCGCGGCCCGGCGGGGCGAGGCAGACCCCGGCCCCGACCCGCTCGGCTGGGCGGGGGAGGCCGACCCCCCCACCCCGCCCCCGCAGAGGCCGCCTGGCGTCTCGGTTTTCTCTCCAGGCTCCCGCCTCGGATTCTCGGTCCCCGGCTGTCACCTGGACGCCCGCGGAGAGGGGCGGGCGGCCGAGGCCGGCGGAGAGGCGGGACTTGGCGGCGGCGGCGGCGGGCCGGGGGGTGGGGCGAGGGGCGGGGGCCGGCGCCCCGCGGGGAGTCCGGCCACGTGACGCCCGCTGCCCGGCCGGGCCGCCAGGCGGGGAGCGCCGCGGCGGCCCCAGGAGGTGGCGGCGGGCGCGGGAGCCCGGGCCGCGCGGGACTGGCCGTCGGGGGCCCGGGACGGCGGCCCCGGAGGCGCCCATGCCATGGACAAGCTGGCGGCCGGCCTGGCCGGCCTGCGCTGGAGCGTGGTCGCCTTCCCGCTGGACCTCATCGTCAGCCGCTGCCGCCTGCCGACGCTCGCCTGCCTCGGGCCAGGTACCGGGGCTGCTGAGAAGGGCGGCCGGGGTCCGCAGGGGAGCCTGGAACTCTCCGGGCAGGTGCCGGCGGGGCCCCCGCGCGCCCCCGCTCTGCACGCGCGCTGCGCAGCTCCTGGCGCGTCTCCGCGGGAGACCAGGGGCCCACCAACCGAGGGTCTGCCTCGTCCGGCGCCCCGCGGACGGCTCTGGGGCAGAAACCAGGACACGGCCTGGGACGGGCCTGCGACGCAGTGTGCCGGCCCGGCTGGAACCCGGAGCAGGGCCGAGCCACCGCGCCCGCCCCGTCGGTGCGCCCCTTCCCTCGCCGCCCTCACACCCCCGTCTGGGCCGCGCCCCCTCCGTCCCTTTGTCTCCCACCTCTCACCGCAATCCTCCCGCACCCCTGAGGCCCGTCTTCCCACCGCCGCCGCCCCCCAGCCCCTCTCGGCCGTTCTCGGGACCCTTCTCACGTCCTCCTTGCGCGTCCCCGGAGCACCTCTGGGCCGGGGCGAGCAGGCCACCTGGAGGAGAGGCCCTGCTGAGCGAGTCCTCCCTCCGGGCGTGTCCTGGAGCCCCCAGCCCTCCCCCCACATCTTGCCCCACTTCTCCTTGGGGCGCGAGGGCCTGGGCTGCCCTGAGGATGGACCCTGGCCTGGGGGCCGCAGAGGGGACGCCTGGAGGCTACACGGAGCGAGGGGACAGTTTGCGGGGGGGGGGGGGTGGCTGCTTGGCTGGGGGAGGGGCAGGACCCGGGGCTGGCAGCCAGTCCGGGGGTTTTGTGTGTGAGAAGAATAGGGGTTTGGCCCGCGTTGGCACACTCGCTTCCCTGAATGCTAATGGGGCCCAGGCCACAGTCTCCTCTCCTCTCCGCGGGGGCGGCAGCCCCTCCTCCGACCCGCGGCGGCCCGGAGTGGGCACAGGGAGCAGCAGCGACCGTACCCGGGCCGTCGGACAGGGGTGCCCCGCAGACCGACGTCTTGTTCTCAGGACCATCAGCATGTGACCCCGAGACGGTGCTTGTCGGCAGCAAGGATGTGTACGTCCGCGCGTGAAAGGGATTTGCCGGCCCCTTCCCACACGTTCTCCTTGGTATCCCTCTCTCTCCTGGGGAGGGTCCTTTCTGAGCTCCTCAGTGTGGCCGGGCCTCCTCTGGGCTCCCTTGATACTCCTGGCACCCTGACTCGCTCCGACTGTGCGCACCTGATATAAGTGGTTAGTGTGTCGTCTTCGCACTGGGCTGCAGGCTCCATGAGCGGGGCATCCTGCGAACAAAGATTGTGGTGGGGCTGACCCCCTGAATGAATGAATGAATGAATGAGCAAACGAGCAACTGGTGGGATGGCCCAGCTGTCTGTGACAGTGGTGTCTGTGGCTGTTGTCATTGTGAGTGTAAATACGTGATCGAAAGTGTGTCTTGAAGGTCCCTGTGTGCCTTATGCATTTAGAAGGGGCCTCTTAGTGGGACCATAGGATCGAGTTGGGCCACTGGAGTGACAAGCCCCTGTCACTGTGGGCCAGGTGGCTGTGCTGGCTCAACTGTTACTACGACCTGTGGCTGTGGGTGTGCAGAAGGGTGGGCTGGGGCTTAGGAGAGCTTTAAGAGGAGGCTGCAGAGTAGCAGAGCTTCCGCTGCCCCAGAAGGCAGGCCCAGATCCCCCCAAAACACACACGGTGGGAACGCCAGGTCTCCCCACAGTCCTGAGCACATCCCCCACGCCCCCTTCATGGGGCACCTAGCCATGAAAGCAACCAATTCCCATTGGGTGGGGTGGCAGATGTTTGGTAAGTTGTGTCTGAGGGGGCTGGGAAGGAGGCATTCCCCACCCCCACCCTGCCCACCAGCTGCAGCCAGGAGACAGCTCCACCAGCTTCCTGGAAGCCGGGCCAGCCCCTCCTGCTCCCCTGGAAACCGTTGCTGGGGTTGGAGCCTCCAGGGGCCCAGGGCCCCCTCAGCACCTCTGCCCCTTCCCCCAGAACCAGCCCCCCCTCCCCACCTCTAAATCCACCCCCTTCTCCAGCAGTCACCGCTGCGTTCCAGACACTGAGAGCATGAGGGGCTGACAGAGGGAGGGCCAAGAAAGAGCTTCTCCTCCGAGGTCCCCTGAAAGCAGGAGAGCCCTGTGGCATGGGGGAAAGGGGCCGCCGTAAGACACCGAGGAGTCAGCTCCTGTGAGCCCTGCCCCTCTCCTGGTCCAAGTGACTCATGGCTCCTAGGGGAGCCCTCTCAGCTGGGACCTACAGCAGACGGCCCCACTGGGGCTCTCTCCAGTCCTCTGGCCAGACCCTCCTGCCTGGCCTGGCCACTGGCTTGGGGGCGGTGCTGAGGCCCACCTGAGTGTCTGCTGCCCAGTAACGTCTCCCATTCTCACCCCCCCCTCAGCTAGTCTGTGCTCTCCTCTGCGAGCCTGGCCACCCTCCGCTCAGTGCCTCACGCTTGGCCTGTATTCTTTGTTCGCATCTTTTTCCACTTCCCTACGGGCGGGCGTAAGGGGTCCTGGAGGCTGGGGGCCGGCCTCGTCTGCTGGGAGGCCCTGGCCCCAGCACGGGGCCTGGGACAGCAGGCAGACTAGTCAGATGATGAATGAAGAACAGCGGCTGGGTTGGTTGCTAGGGCCCCGTCAGGAGCCTGAGCCCTGCGAGAGGGGCTTGACTCTGCCCTGAGGCCACAGCTGGCAGTCCGCCTGTCCCTAGAGCATTGCCGACCTGGACAGGGATCACAGGATGGGGGGGCTGCCCCTGGGGAGGGTCTTGGTGAGAAGGTGAGCAGGTCATCCTGCCTATTCTCTCTGCCCCTCCTAATGTTTTCTCTTTTCCCTTCCTTCCTCTCCCCACCTTCTTTCCCTTCCCAGGGGAGTATGCCGAGGGCGTCAGTGAGCGAGACATCCTGCTCATTCACTCCTGCCGCCAGTGGACCACGGTGACAGCCCACACCCTGGAGGAAGGCCACTACGTCATCGGGCCCAAGATTGACATCCCCCTGCAGTACCCAGGTGTGCCAGCCGGGGACAGATGGTGCAGAGCTGGTGGGGGCAGTAGGCCGGAGGGCAGGGGGGAGGGAAGGCGTGGGGGAAGCTGTGGGCTGAGGGAGGACAGGGCTGGCAGGGGTGGGGTTAGGGGTAGGGTTGGAGTTAGGGTTGGGGTTAGGGGTAGGGTTGGGGTCAGGGTTGGGGTTAGGGTTAAGGTTAGGGCGCAGTGGTTTTCACACTCCTGTGTGCAGCCCCCCAGTTTCTGGTTGCAAAGCTTTGATTCACATTCTATTTTAAAGTAGATTTTAAACTGATTTTAAAAAAGATACCCACAGTCTTGCACTGCTACAAATCCAACCCGAAGCTGCCTCATTAACCCCTTGTTGTATGACCCTCAAGGAGGACACCTCCCGCCCCTGGCGGCGTGGTGCCGTGCGACCCAAACCCCTCAGGACCAAGAGGTGCCCGGGCCGGTCATTGGGCTGCGCGTGTCAGCTCTCATCTTCTGTTATGACCATATTCGCCTTTTATGGAGTTTATTGGGGTGGCGTGGTGGCATGGGTTAACGCTTTAATCTGGTTCCCCCAATTTTAGTGTTAACCTCATTGTTTTCATTGATTGGCTTTATAACTGAGTGTTAAACTTTTAGACTTTTAACTAAGATCACGCGCGTGAACTCCCACTTTGGCCTGGGTGACACATGGTGTACGATTTTGTTTGAAGAAAGGATTACGCCGCTAAAAAAAGAAAGTCCAGCCCTCCCACTGAACTCACAAGGAAACAGGCCCCAGGAGCGTCAGCAGCTTGCTCAGTGCTGTGTGTTAACCCCCCGCCCTCCCCCCGCCCCCCACCAAGGTCGGCCCCTGTGTGCCTGGAAGGCTCAAGGTCCCTTCCTCGCAGGCACCGCTGTTCCCCCTCTGGTCCTGCCTGGGTCTCCCGGAGCCGGCAGGTCGGGACTGAGCTGTCACAAGCTTCTGCCCTTTACATGGAAGAGGTTGGGGTGCCCTCTCAGGTGTCTTTCTGACCTGGGACTGGGCTCTGTGCTGGGCCTGAAGTCCTCGAGAGGGCCTGCCGGAGCTAGGAACTCCCAGCCTGGGAGAGGTCCCACCCTCCCAGGTCGTCTTCTTGGGATGGAAAAAGCAAAGATAGTCCTCATTGACTGAAATGTGACTTAAGGGACTGTGCCATTTTAGTTTATCTGGGAAACCAAGGCACGGAGCCTTCTAAGTTGCCGAGTCCGGGGGGGGGGGGGGGCTCCTAGCACTTGTTCCCCGAGTGCGCGCGTACGGCGGCGCTGTCGTGGGGTGACAGCTGGCTGCAGGGATGCTGCCGCCCACTCCGTCTTTCCGGTGGACTGGTCGGCCCGGATGGGGGAGGGGAGGTCGAGGCCCCCTAGGAGGGGGAGGGGCCGGGCGGCTGGTGGGTTAACGAGGAAGCTGAGTGCACAGCTTGGAACTGGTTCCTCTTAATGAATTAATAATTGTGTGGGTGGGCAGGGGCGGCCGGCTTCGGACCTCGGAGAGAGCGGCCACGAAGCTGGGGAAGGGGAGGAGGGTGGAGAGGCCGGGTCTTCAGCCCGCCCACTGCCCAGGGGATGGGGACACCCTGCTCCTCTGAGACAGCCCCGCACCCGCCCTGCCGGGCCAGGCTGCTTCCGCAGCGTCGGCCGAGGCCCGTCGGAGCCCGGGCAGACGCACCCTGGGAGCTAAGTAGCATGCTTCCATTTTACAGATGGGAGAACGCAAGCCCAGCGAGATCCAGTAATTTGCTCAAGGTCATACAGCTGGTTGGAGGCAGAGATGGCATGCAGCCTGGCCTGGCCTGACCCCACACTCCGTGCATATGCCCCCCATTCTCTACGGAGCGTCTGCCGTGGGTCATGGGCCAGGTGCTGGGCGGAGGGGTGGCAGGCGAGACCCTTTCCGGCTGCATGGGATCCTGAGGCCAGCACAGCTGTGTTCTGGGACAGAAGGACAGAGGATGGGCCGGCTCGGGTTGGGCAGGTCCCTAGAGTCGCAGGGACCTCGGGTCTCACGCAGGGGGAGGCAGGAGAGGAAGCTGCCCCTGGCGGGGGCTGCAGGGGGAGGAAAAGGCTTCCAGGGGCCGGAGCATCACTCCCGGGAGGTCTCCCTTCCTTCCTCTGGGCAGTAATGACCGGTGCTGGGCCCCAGGCTGCAGCGGAGGGGGTGGTGCTGGCTACCATGGTTACATCGATCTTTCCTGCCACATCCTCTCCTGGCTCCAGCCCTGGTTTGGCTCCTGCGCTCCCCACAGGGGGGCAGCGGGCATTTCTCCCTACTTGGCTGTTTGTGGTTGGGGGGGTTGTGTGCGAATACGGGGGAGGAGGTCGGGTGGGGGCGGGGCACTACTCGCTGTTGGGTGGCAGAAGAGCCTCATTCCTGCCCCCTGACCCCAGATCCGGGCTCCTTGCCCGGTCCTCTCCCTAGTTTATCCCTCCGCCCGCCAGAGCTGTGGCACCTTCGGGCCTCTTCCCACCGGGGTCTCAGGGTGGTGAGAGCAGGAGCCGGGGCCTCTCCTCCCATCTCTGTGCTGGGCATTTCCCCTTCTTTTTCTTTACTTCCCGTCTCTTGCTGCTCCCAGATGTCCATGCCGCAGGCCCTGCCCTCAGCCGCTCACACCCTGCACTGGGGGGAAGGCTGGGTCTCAGTCTAGGTTCCTCTCTGGGTTTGGGGGCTCCAGGAACCCTGACACCATGTGCAAAATGGCATGTGTCCATGCTAGGAGTACACTGGGCATTTTTCTGGGAAGAGAGCCCCCAAAGGGTTAAGACCCTCTCTTCATCTTCTCTGAGCCACACTCCCTGCCTCTTGCGGGTGGGTGATCTTCAGTCTGTGCTTCCAGCCAGGCTGCCCCAGCCCCTGCCCCACAGCCTGTTTCTTCTGGGCTCCACAGCCTTCACAGCCTTGCTGGCTCCGTTTCCAACCAGGCTGGTAGCGAGAGTCCCTTCCTTCCCACCGGCCCCTCATGAGTCACCCCAGGCTGATGAACCTCCCTCCGTGGGCTTCTTGGCACAGCCCAAGGGGCTGTCCACCTCCCCCCTGTCATCGCTCTCCTGAAGTCCTACCCTCCGGGCGCTCCCCACTAGGGGCAGGCCGTCTGCTCTTGTGATTCCGTTTTTTGCTCATTCTCTTCCTCTCGGACTGGTGTTTTGTGAAACTCTTTTCATTCCTAAGGTCCTTTCAAACTGCCAGGCAGCTTTCCTCCAGTCCGGTGGTCCTCTAGCTCTTTTGTCACGAGTCTTTTTTAGCACTTGTCACATCCTGCCATCACTGGGCGCCCCCGGTCACATCCACTGTATCTGGAAGTCCTGGGGAGCTGGCTGTATGTTACGCAGATCTGCGGCCTTGGTCGGGCTAGCCCGTGGTCTGGCACAGGGCGGGCATTCGGGCGGACGCTCCCTAAACGTCTGCGGAGTGAGCAGATGAATGTACCGTGACCGACGCAACCACCAGAGGGCCACAGAAGCTGAAGAGTCACCTAGTCTTGTCTCAGCCTGTTGTCCCCTCACCTGTGCGAGACCCTTCCTCCCGTGTCAGGCCTGAGACGAAGCCATCTGTCCAGATGTCAGAGTGGGGCACAGCCTGTCCCTGTGCTCGTGTGGCGGGCGCGTAGAGTGTGTGTGTGGCCAGTGGGGTGAGACAGTGACTCAGGGGTGTCAGCCTTGTGGATTATCGCCATTCTTTAAAGTCCGAGTCTGCTGGAGGCGTCTGCCGAGCCAGCCAAATCACACAGCCCCAGGCTGCGGGTGGGAAGGCCTCATCTGCAGGAGGCGTTGCTGGGTTCAGGTGAGAGGCCTCTGGGACAGTTGAGCTGGGTGTTGGACGAGGGCGGATTCTGGCAACAGTGGCTCTCCCTGGGCCTCCAAGGCCTGGGGCTGGGCCCCGGTCTGCCCAGTGTATCGGTGTGCATCTGCAACCCAAGGCAAATGCACAGCATGCCAGGTCCAGGTGGGGCCCGATGCCATCTGTCCCAACCTCCTCAGATGAGGACATGGAAGTCCAGAGAGGGGAAGGGACTTTTCTAGAGTCATAGCAAGTCAGAGTGGGGCTGGGAGCAAGCTAGGAGCCAGCACCCCCAATGCCACAGGGATGCTTGGTCCGAGGCCAGCTCTGCGTCCAAGTATTTGGGCTCCAGTTTGCACTTGGGGCATCTCTGGGAAGACAGTCGCCAGCCTCATCGCACACCCACAGCTCTGCACGGGGACAGAGCTGTGCTCTCGTTGTTGGGGACTTGTGCTCACCTCCTGCTGAGGCTTGAGCCAACTATCCAGCTTCTTCCACCCCGTGCTGGTGCAAACCTGCCCTTCCGCCCTCCTGAGTTCCAGAGGGGCTGGCTGAGGTGAGGGGAGCAGCAAGTAGGGGCCACGAGGCCTCTTGGGGTGCAGGCCAGGATCCCAGCAAGCAGGCTCACCCTAGCAGCCTGCATTTCCTCCCGTGCAGGGAAGTTCAAGCTCCTGGAACAGGCCCGGGATGTGCGGGAGCCAGTGAGGTACTTCAGCAGCGTGGAGGAGGTGGCCAGCGTCTTCCCCGACCGCATCTTTGTGATGGAAGCCATCACCTTCAGTGTCAAGGTCAGTCTTTCTGGCACCAAGCACGGTGTCCTCAGGCTGCCCCTTCCCTTCAGAGCAACTCTGACCCTGGCTGGAGGGTTACCTTAGGGGCCAGGAGGTACCAGGGATCCCATTGTGACTTCTGACAGCCCCTTGAGGGCCTCTGGCAAAATCAGGCCATGACAGAGGAGCCGGGTGTTACGGCCCAGTGGGCCGAAGAACTTCCTGCGAAGGTGATGAAGCAGGAGGAAGAGTGCAGAGGGTCCTGCCCTGACTTAGAGACCTGCAGGGAAGCCTGTCCTCAGTATCCACCGGTAGGGGCGATGGGTGCAGACTGTCCTCCACTGTGTACCGTAGCTCTTTACAGACCCTGTTCTTATCCAGCAATTCACTGCTCAGTTGCCTTGTTGAGTGGATGGAGTATTATTATCATCCAGATTATAAAGATAAGGATAAAGGTTGTCATTTATTATTTTTGAAGTATGTTGCTGTACATGTAGCCTAGTTAGCCCTTAGAGCAACTCTTCCAAGTGTTACTAGATCATTAAGGCCCCAGAGGTGACTCACTGAAGGCTGCACAGCCACTATGTGGCCTCTCCAGGATGGAACGTGGGTCCCCGACCCCGCCCGTCCCCCTCACGCCCCCTAGTCAAGTGCTCTAGATCGGGTCCCAGCTTTGGGAGGACCCCGAGGCTCCCCTCCTGGGTCCTGGAGGTTCTCACAGGGCTGGCTTTCCCTGGGGCCCTGGCTCAGGCCTCGCCATTTCTGGGATCCCCAGGTGGTGTCGGGAGAGTTCAGCGAGGACAGCGAGGTGTACAACTTCACGCTGCACGCGGGCGATGAGCTCACTCTCATGGGCCAGGCAGAGATCCTGTGCGCCAAGACCACCAAGGAGCGCTCGCGCTTCACCACCCTGCTGCGCAAGCTGGGCCGGGCCGGGGCCCTGGCCGGAGTGGGCGGGCCAGGGGGCTCAGGGGCCGCGGGAGGGGGCGCCCGGCCCATCAAAGGCAAGATGCCGTGCCTCATCTGCATGAACCACCGCACCAACGAGAGCCTGAGCCTGCCCTTCCAGTGCCAGGGCCGCTTCAGCACACGCAGCCCGCTGGAGCTGCAGATGCAGGAGGGCGAGCACACGGTGCGCGCCATCATCGAGCGCGTGCGGCTCCCGGTGAACGTGCTGGTGCCCAGCCGGCCGCCGCGCAACCCCTACGACCTGCACCCGGTGCGGGAGGGCCACTGCTACAAGCTGGTCAGCATCATCTCCAAGACCGTGGTGCTGGGGCTGGCGCTGCGCCGCGAGGGCCCGGCGCCCCTGCACTTCCTGCTGCTCACCGACACGCCGCGCTTTGCGCTGCCGCAGGGCCTGCTGGCCGGGGACCCGCGCGTGGAGCGCCTGGTGCGCGACAGCGCCTCCTACTGCCGCGAGCGCTTCGACCCCGACGAGTACTCCACCGCCGTGCGCGAGGCGCCCGCGGAGCTGGCCGACGACTGCGCCAGCCCGCGCCGCGCGCGCCTCTGCCTGCCCGCGCCCCAGCGCGCCCCCGCGCCCGCCCGCGCCCCCAGCCCGCCCGGCGACAGCGACCAAGAGTATGTGAGCCCCGACTGGGCTGGCGCGCCAGAGCCCGCAGCCTCGCCCGCCGAGATCCCTTACGAGGAGCTGTGGGCACATCAGGCGGCTGAGGGCCTTGCTGAGGGCCGGACCCGGCCGCCCCCGGGGCCCGACCTCATCTCCTTCGGGGCCCCGGGGCCGCCACGCCTGGAGCCCGAGACGCAGCCGCCTCCCGTGCCTCCCAAATCCGAGGCGGTGAGTGGACGTGGTTGAGGGCTGAAGGGTGCAGGGCAAGGCGCTGAGCTCTGTCCTCCAGGGAGGGACCCGCCAGGACGCCCCGTTTGGGCTCGAAAAGGGAATTTTCCTGGGCGCCCAACCCATGGAGTGTGTGACAGAGGGTGGCCGATATGTAGGGGAAAGGGTCACAAGAGCACGTGTAGTTCGGGTTACCAGGGACGGTGGCGTGGGAGTTGTGGGACGGGAATGCGAGTAGATCCCGAGCCACAGAAAAGTGGCGATGAGTCCAGAACAGCGATACCCAGAAGGTTCCGCAGAACAGCCTTGGAAGTTGCCTGGGGAGAAGAAGGGTCTATGGGGAACCAAGTTGAATAAACGAGTGTGGGACCTCCGCCCTCCGCTCCGCTTCCCTTCGGAGTTACAGAGCACCTGCACGTCAGGGCTCTGAGAATCCCGCACTGAGGACGCCTGTTCGTCTGTGTTCAGTGTGGTTTCCCAGCCGCCCCTGTCCGCAGAATGTGGACGGCGTCCACGGACACCCCAGGGCGTCCACTTTGAGTATCTGACCTGTAAGGAAGGGATCCAGATGGCAGCTACTGTAGTTCCGCCCCCTCATGCATTTTTCCTCTTCTTTCCTTTTTTTTAATGACTGTTTTTGAACCCACTTTTCTATATTCTTTTACATTCATGAAGGATTTCCAAGGCAGTAGGAGACTGTGTTGTGGGCCCCTGATGGGCGAGGCAGGCTGGAGGGAGGAGAAGGGGTGGAGGGGAGGGTGGCGGGGTGGGGAGGTGGGGTGGAAGGTAAGGCAGCCTCTTTGCAAAGTGGGGCCAAGTGTCAGTCTCCCAAGTGCTGGGAAGGGGTAGATGAGGAGTGTCAGCCGCCTGGGGACAGGCTCTTGGAGCCACGGCTCTTGGTTCGCAGGTGAAGGAGGAGTGCCGCCTGCTCAATGCCCCGCCTGTGCCTCCCCGGGGTGGCAGTGGCGGCGGCCGGCTCTCGGGCAGCCCCCCAGTGCCCCCGCGCTTCCCCAAGCTACAGCCGGTCCATTCGCCCAGCTCCAGCCTCTCCTACTACTCCTCTGGCCTCCAGGATGGGTGAGCCCCTTCCTTCTCCTGGTCCTGGGTCCTCCCATGGTGGCTGGAGTCAGGGGAGGGCAGGGAGGGAGTCAGTGCTGAGGAAGAGGAAGACTTCGACCTGGGGGTCCAGGGGTGCAAGTCCCTGGGCAGTACCGAGAGGGAGGGCAGTGGGGTTTGGGGGCCCAAGGCCCAGCGACTTCCTCTCCACTGTCCTGCATCAGCTTGCTTCTTTCCTGAACGCGAGGACCGGACGGGAACGCTGCTCTGTGTCCTTCCAGACTGGAACTCGGCCACAGGATGATGTGTTCCTTACTGTCTAAATTTTTTGTGCAATTCAGTTTCATTTCCTTTTTCCTGGGGCTGGGGATGCCTGAAGAAAGAAGCGAGCAACCCCAGAGGGTCTCGGGCCTGAGGGCTGGGGTACGGCCCATGTTGCAGGGAGCAGGGCGGTAGCCTCTGTGAGCTGGCAGAGCGGTGGTTTGCAGTGTCACGTGTGACCCCGGCACATTGCCCCCTGCTCTGTTCTACCCCTCCATGTGTGTCTGTCTCTCTGCCCACAGGACGGGTTCCCGCAGTGGCAGCGGCTCCCCGTCGCCAGATGCCTACTCCCTCTATTGCTACCCATGCACCTGGGGAGACTGCAAAGTGGGCGAGTCCTCCAGCCGCCCACCCTCGGGGCCCCCCCCCTCCACCACACAGCCCAGCCAGGCCTCGCGGGCCCTTGCAGAGCCCCTGAGCAGTCGAACTGCTTCCCTCCTGGGGGCCGACACCCCCATCAAGACCTACCACGGCTGCCCGCCGCTCTTCAAGCCCTCTCAGCCCCAGAAACGCTTTGCTCCATTTGGAGCTCTCAACCCCTTTTCCGGGCCTGCCTACCCCTCAGGCCCTTCAGCGGCCCCCTCTTCTGGGCCCACAACCGCTTCAGGGGCTGTGGCTACCTCCAGCCCTGCGTATTCCCCAGGCCCAGGGTCTCCAGGCCAGGCCTATTCAGCTGCTTCCACCTCCTCGGGCCCCACCTCCTCTTCCTCTTCCTCTGAGTGGCAGGAACCAGCCCTGGAGCCCTTTGATCCCTTTGAGCTGGGGCAGGGTGGTTCTCCGGAGCCTGAGGTGCTGCGCTGCCAGGAGCCCAGAGCTGTGGGGGTACCTGGATCCGGACCCCGCCTCTCACCGCTTGGACCCCCCAAGGTTTCAGAGCCTGAAAGTTTAGTGCTGCGGCAGGCATCTGCGTCACTGTCACCAGTGGCCGTGAAGGGGCCCAAGGCAGGTGGAGCACGACTCCTCCTCAACCAAGGGCGCCTGGAAGGGCCTCCCGCCAGTCCCCGGGACGGGGCCACGGGCTGGGGAGGCCGGGATCCTTCCTGGCAGCCCCCGGCTGACCTGTCTGCGCTCTCCCTGGAGGAGGTCTCCCGCAGCCTGCGTTTCATCGGGCTCTCGGAGGACGTGGTGAGCTTCTTCGCCCGAGAACGCATTGACGGCAGCATCTTTGTGCAGCTCAGTGAGGACATCTTGGCAGACGACTTCCACCTCACCAAGCTTCAGGTCAAGAAGATCATGCAGTTCATCAAAGGCTGGCGGCCCAAGATCTGACCTTCCCAGCTTGGAGCTGCACAACCAGAACGCTGGCAGAGAAGCCCTGGGGCCAGCTGGGGGACTGCAGGGGGGAACCCCGGGGGCGGGTCCTGCCTGCGGGGAGGATCTTTGCCGAGACTGAGGATGCTAGGTAGCTAGCTATCTGTGAGCCCAGGGGAGACACCCTTGGAAATGGGGTCCTCTGGGGCCACACCCCTGCATGGGGATGGCCTGCCTTTGCATGTGCAGAGTAGGTGGGGAGAGGGCGGGAGGCCCCGGGGTGCACCTGGACCTGGTCAGGCATTTGCTGCGATTCCCACGGTGGGGTCGAAAGGTGGCCTCTGTGGGACCTCACACTCTCCCACGCCCTGCTGCAGGGCTTCACAGACGTCACGCACTTCTCGTTTGTAGGTTCAGGTTAGAGACAAGGGAAGCTGGCCCGTAATTTAAGCACAAACTCCCAAGTGCCCTCTCTCCCCTGAGCTCCGGGGGCTTCTGGCCTAAGCTGCCCCAGGGTCGGGGTGCCAATTTTGGGACCTCTGCCATGCCTTTCCCCTCCCCCTCTGCTCTACCATGGGGAGGTCCCTGGCCCTGAGCACAAGTGTATCCAGGACAAGCCCATACCACCGCAGCTTGAGGCTCCGCCCCTGGGTTCTGGCTTGTGGGTGATGACTTTGAAGGAGCGCAGCTCTGCGTTTGAGGTACTTATCTAGTGCGGGGGGGGCAGATGCTCCACTCATGTCCTGGGTTCTCCCTTGAACTCAATGCAGCAGGCCCCCCACTCCGTCCTGCCAGGTCAGGCCAGTCTGCCAAGACCCTGACTCCGTGGAAGAGCAGGTGGATTTGAGCCCGCTGCTCCTTGATCCTGGAGGCAAGTGGTTTTCAACCACTCCCACTTGCCCCTGTCTCCTGCCCCCACCCCTCGACTGCTCAAACACCTGGTGTCCTTCCCTGGTTTCCTGTCACTGGTGCACAGGGGGGACGGGTGGGAGAGAGAAAGCACAGTGGCTTGGAGAAACCTGCCTTTTCTCCCCTGGAGCTCAGGCCCCCTGCACCCGCTCATGTGTGTCAGGGAAGGTCTTGGTGCCCTAGGTCTCCAGTGTGGTCATCTGCTTGGCACCCAGAGCGGGTTGGCTACTGTGTACAACTCCCCACCCCCCTGCCCATCCATCCCTGCCTCACCTGCCTGGGACCACACCAATCCTCACGCTCACTAGTGCCAGGCCGCAGAGGTACCAGCCTTCTCTTCTGCCTTACCTAGCCAACCTAAGTATTTATTTCCTCTTTCTGTCTCAAGTGTAGCAAAGCCTTACTGGTGCTGGTGCCCCGGGCAGGCTGCCTCAACTCTGAGGGAAAGGGGGTCGGGAAATAGAGCACAGAAGCCGATGTGGAGACTTCTGGTTTCCTTGCCCGGCACCGAATGAACCCTCCGGGGCTGGTGAAATAAATGCTAGACCGCTAAGGGATAGTGCAGGCGGGGCTCTGGGTGTCGGCTGCTTTCTTCCTTTGGATGGAGGAGCAACGGATATGGGACGCTGGGATGTGTGTGCGCACGTCCCCAGCCAGGGCCCAAGTTCAACTCCCTGTGCTGGCTGAACGCCTGCCTTGGGCTCTCAGACCCCCACATTTAGAAGCCTGTGAATGGCCGTGGTGCCGGGGATTAGTTCTCTCTCTTCTGTCGGTCATCTGAAAACCCCAGCTCAGAGATGACTTGGTCTCAGAGCCTGGCTTCCTAGCCGCCAAGCATCGGTGTTCGGTACAGCCAGGGTTAAAGGACCTTGCCTGCCAGTGCCAACAGCAGAACGGGGCCGGGCAGTATCTGAAGTGCCTGCAACCGGCACAGAGGCCGGACGGAAGTCCAGAAGGCGCAGTGATGGGACTTCATTCGATTCTGCACTCACTCAGCGCGGATCCTTCCGCCAGACGGAGTTAAGAGCCCGGATGCTGCTAACTCAGACTGGCTCTGCTTCTGCCGGAACACGTTTAGCGAAACTGCATGCCGGGGGGCAGGGGCGGGGCAGTGGAGGGTCTAGCAGAGTGGCGTGGCAGCGGGCTGACTCGGCAGCCCTCGTGGGCTCCCCCGTGCTGCCTCGGATCACTGCAGGCCGTCTCCACGCTCAAGGGCAGCCGAGATGTGCAGGATGCACTGACCAGGGAAACGCGCTCTCCTCTGGTTAAGCTGGGTAAAACTGTGTGACAAGGAGGCGCCGTGCTGGGAGAGAAGTCTGCTTTCCGTCCTGGTCCTCCACACCTATCGCCCCGCTGCTGCTCCGGTTAGCCAGGGCCGCGTCCCCGCTGTGCGCAGAAGCCCAGCCATAGCAGTTAAATACAGTCAGGGCTAAAAGGCTTAAGCCTCATAAAGCACCACCTTTGATCATCACAGTCTCTCTCTTCAGGTGCTGCTTAGAACTCTCAACACTTCTTATCCCACACACACAGGGGTTTGTTCTAGCTCAGTCCTTGAAGGAGGGGTTTAAACCAGAAGCACAAAGACAGAAAAAAAAGGAACAAGCAGGCAGGGAGGCTGATAAATAAGTTTGGTTTTTATTGTTATCCTGTGTTTGGCCAAATGCGTAATTGCTCTCACCACTGTTGGCCGCCGCCGGCCTCCAGGCAGGAACGCGGCCAGTCTGGGTCTCGGGGCTTACAGAGTCACAAGGACAGCGGGTCCCACCTCCCAACATGAAGTGCAAACACAGCCAGACTTCGCCAGGAGGGAGGGACAGTCATAGCTGAAGGCACTTGAATCAAGGCACACACCCAATGCCCGAGTCTGTTTCCTTTGAGGTTACTGACAACCGAGACGCCGCTCCGCTGGAGGGCCAGCGCTGCCGGGAGTCGGGGTTAGTGGGCAGGCGGGCGAGCAGGGGTCGAGGGCCCGCTCACTGGTAAAACTTCTTGTTGGGGCTGTTGGCGTGGTCAATTAGCAGCTGGCACGGGGTGAACTGTTTTCCGTAGGCGGCCTCGTACTTCCGGAGCCGGTCCACGACCTTCTGCGCGCCGAACAGGTCCACGAAGCGGAAGGGCCCTGAGGGGGAGACAGGACGCGGGTGAGGCGGGCGGCAGCACGAGCTCCGGGGCAGAGCGGGCTGCCTCCCCAGCCCGCACGACCGACCTCCAAGGCAGGGGGGGAAGCCGAGCCCGAAGACCGCTCCGATGTCTCCCTCTGCGGGGGTGGCCAAGATGCCTTCCTGCAGGCACAGGGCAGCCTCGTTCACGAACCTGGTCACCAGGCGGTACTGGATGTCTTCGTCAGAGGACCTGTCCCCAGGGAGAGATGTTCAGGTGGTGGAAGAGCGGGAGGGGAGGGTCGCAGGAGCCGCACGGGAAAGGGCAAGGGCCCGCCGGTCCCCGAGAAAAAGACTGCAGACTGCAGCACAGCGCTGCTGCCCTAACCAGCCAGAAACTGGGCCCCCAGAACAGGGCCTGCCACAGAGCAGGTAACCCGTGTTCCCTGACATCAGCAACAGTCAGTTACAAGTGGCGAGAAGGGGTTTGGAGCCTAAGGGCCTGGGGTACTCGGCCCCCGAGCTGCTCTCTGGGACCTTGGGTGGGAAGGTTGGAGCAGGGGTCTCCCCAAAGGTTTGGCTGCTGCTCCCCTGGTGGTGGCAGAGAACAAGATGGCGCACGTAAAGCCCAAGCACACGGCGCTGGGCCCGCATCGGGGGTGCTCTGGTCAGGCCCAGCGAACACAACCAAGGTGGGAGGGGGGCCCAGGAGCTCTGGGCCGATGAGAAATGTTTCCATGTCGCCAGCCACTCAAACTGACTTACACGTCAGCCTTAGGAGGCACCTGCAGACCTGCCAAAACACTGTCCATGTCGGAATTCAAGTTCTTACTCTTCACGCCTTCCTGGTAGATGTAAAAGCCCTTCCCAGACTTGCGACCTAAAAGCAGGAAAGGTAGAGTTAAAAACCCTCAGAGCCTGGGCCTGAGAAGGGTCTTTTTTGCTGGTTGGCTGTAAAGCTCCCGCCTTTCTCCTGTATTCCTGAACATGTATTTCTAGCTGACCCTAGGAAGCTAGTGTTTGTCAGAGAGCTCACAGACAAGGAAAGAGATCTTGTTTCCTGGAAATCTGTGCGTCTGGATGGGAAAGGCCAGCGGGTAAGTTTTACTGTCCGGATGTGCAGCCCCAGGCCCTAGGATGCTCAGGCCCTCACTCCGATTCTGCTGCTACTTTGCCAAAAGAGAGAGCTGCCTCCCTCTGGTGGGCCTCAGCTGTGGACTCACTGTGCAGAGGTTTCCCTTTCTGCACACGGGTGGCCAGACAACATGGTAAAGGCCGATGCAAGCTTGCTAGTGCGGGAGCAGATGGATGAGAGGCCTTGGGCAGGAGGAGAGTGCCTGTCGATCTGGCGTAACCTGGGCCAGTAGTGGCGGAGCTTCAGGAGGCCAGAGTTCTGCCTTTGTCACCAATCGCCTTTGTCACCAATCTGCAAGCCCAGGCTAAGGAGTGTGATCATGAAATCAGTTTTGAAATCCCCGGTGACAGCAGGCTCCATGTTTAGCAAACACACCGGGCCTTCTGTAACTCTCTGGTCTCAAGAAACTGCTCAGAACTCTGTGATAAATGGTGCTAGTCACGTTTCTTCAAGGCTACTCACCCAGGAAGCCCTTGGACACCATCTGTTTCAGCAGTTCTGGGCTTCCACCTCCAAATCTCTCCCCAAAGGCTTTGCCTAGATCTTCCGATACGTGTTTTGCTACATCCACGCCAACTTCATCCACCAGCGTGGCAGCACCGACAGGAAAACCAAAGCTTGTGGTCAGGGAGTCCAGCTTCTTAGGGCCCACTCCTTCCTGAACGGGAAGGGAAGTGGGGACCTCAGGGGAAGGCCATCTCTGACCCCCACGAGGGCTCCTTGTGCTCGCCTTCAGAAACAGCCTTGTACAACACCCGCCTCTCCCCTGGGTGCTGCCTGGCCAGGCCAGGGCCGGCGCTGTTGCACTCATGGAAACATAAGATGCGTAGGAGTCACAAGGGCAAGGTCTGAGCCTTCCCTAACCTGTAGCCCTTTAAGGAAGGCTCGAGATGAGCAAGTATTTCATGTCCCTGTTGTCTGCAATTTTGAATCTCAGCAGCAACAAGATTCCACGGCAGACCGGGCTGGCTTTCACGACTGGGAGAAGAGGCCCTACTGAGGAGCAGTGCCGCAGAGCCCCGGGATCCCCGTGTCTACGGGCCCGGCGAATGACCCGTACGGCCACCGGAGGGGCTGGCTTGCCCAGAGGCAGATGTAGCACCAGTCAGGCCAGGTGGGCCCTGTTCTGGATGGTCCCTGACTCAACGGGGGTGCAGAAACAGCACGGGAGAGCATGCTGGGAGGCCTCTGGCCTCATGCAGCAGGGAGGAAGCTAAGGGAGCAGAGCTAAAATGCTGCCGCCCGCCCACGACTTCCCACCACTTGCAGAGAGGGAGGGCACACACGGGCCTCCTTGGAGAAGAGCCGGGAGCTAGTGTATTAGGAGGCGGCTTGCTCCTCTTCCTGACACTACCGGTGCGGAGGACCGGTCTAAGGAGCGGAAGACGCTGCAGACATTCCCAGCGCAACACCAACCTGGAGAATTCGGAGGACTTCGGACATCATGGGTGCGAGACACCTCGTGGTGTAGAAGCCAGGTCCGTCCTGCCAAGGGAGAGACCGTGAACTTGGTGGCCACTCTGTTGTGGGCACTACCCAAGTCTGGAAGCAGCCTCCCTTCCCCAGATCTCATTTCAAAGTTCAACGTGATCATAACCTCAGTCAGAATCCTTAAATGAGACTGAGAGGGATGCCGCAGCCAGGGTGGCACGGCTTGAATCCCAGAGCACAGCACATGGTTTCACGGTCACTCGAAAGGTCCGGAACGGCTGGGGGAGCCTGCCACGTCCCCGACACCCCACTCTGACCCTGACTCGGTGGTACAGTCAGCACCACTATCCAGGTTGTAGCCGACCAGGGGGAAATCATGTCCGAAGTTGGTGTGTTTGACCCGGATGAGTCTGAAGCCCGGCGGTATAAGGGGTCTTAATAAAACTTCCCCAGCCTGCCGCTGTTACACAGCCCTCACCTTGACCACGATGATGACCTTCCCCTGCCTGAGGCCCACAGCTACAGCGGAAGCACTTGTGTCTTTAGATGTTTTCTCCGTTGTGATGATCTCCAGCAGCTGCATCTTGTCCACAGGAGAGAAGTAGTGCATGCCGATCACCTGGCACGGGGAACAGGCAGCCAAGAGACCGAGCATTGAGGAGGGAGCCCAGCAGCACCCTTTTCTTCCAGGAGAGCCGCGGGGAGAAAGGCGGCTGGGATGCAGGGACACTGCTTGCTACAGTCACATGGGTCGGCTCCACGGCTCTCTGACCCAGGGTCGGAGGGTCAGGGAGAGCTCACTGGACTCCTCTTCTATCTGCTCCCTGGGCTTTTCGCTAAGGGCAACTGACCCTACCAACAACCGGCACGAAAGCGACAGGTGAAGGCCAAGCTGGATTCATCAGGGAAGAGTGAAGGTCCCACTCACGTTAACCAAGCTGACAGTTTAGGTGAGGGTCCAGCTTTTCGGGGGGAGAAGGGGGCGGAAAGCCGTCAGACCCTGGCAGACTGACATGGCTGGTCACCCTACTTGTCCCCTCCGGCCTTCCCTGAATGCCAATGCTACCAGGTCGGCAGGTGCTAAGAGTTACCCAGGACACCTGCAGGCTGGACGGCAAAGCGCGATGCTCACCCCACCCCACCGGGGAGAATGAGAGACCGCCTTCGCCGGTTTCCACTGCGGCGGAGGTGCTCCGAGTGATGAGACCTGGCCAGGGCTGTCCACCTGCCTTCCTGCTGCTTCTGTGCCCTCCCGAGTGTCACGCTGTCAGCTGCCACTTCTCCCTGGGACCTTTCCCTGCCATCACGGAGCCTGCCTCTACCAGGCCCTAACGTGCTGACTGCTAGGAAACAAGACTGCCCTGCATCCACCAGCGACTACAATAGGAATGAGGCGGCTTCTGTGTAGTGCATGGATTGTGTGTGAACCTTTTCAAATCCTTCAAATACTTCCTGCCTGCTCTTAGCTGGTTCGGGTCAGATGAGGCCAACTGGAGGCTCCCGAGAGGTGAGCTGTGTTACTTTTCCCTGAGTGTTGCTCCTTTCCCTCGGTCGCTCTGGCAGACAGCAGAAGCCCAAAGATAAATTTCTCGGCCTCATTTCCCGTCGCCGAAAGTGCATCCACCCCCAGCGCTTCATGCCCTGGGTTGAAGGCTGAAGTTACCTCACGGGGTGGGGGGACATCCCACCACGCACTCCGACCCTCCATTCCTGAGTCCGGAGTAGGAACCAACTCTGCCCTGGACGGTCGCCGGAGTCCGCCATGGAGCTGAGGTGACATTCTGGAGGACCCCCTTCTCAGGGCGGACCTTTCACTGTCTAACTGTGGTAAGGGTAGGTCTCACAGTCTAAACCCAAATAACAACACCCAGTAGGGCTGCAAATCACCTGTAAAGGTATCTTGTGTGTCACTTGTTCCTGTATTGCACGCCGGTCGTGGGACTAGCCTCTGCTGTGCCCAGTTTTGGGGAACACACCGTCACCCCCATTTACTTCATAACCCACACAGTCCCTTCACCAGTGAGCCCGAAGCCATAAAGCCTTCCAGGGATTTCCTCTCTTTAGAACTTACCTTCTCGGGCCTTTTGCTGACGGCGGCGATTTCATTGATTGGGAGAGCTGACGTGTTGCTGGCAAAGATGCAGTGCTCCGGGATCACCTGCGGGGGAGGACGGAGGAGGAGCGTCTAAGAGTGTGTCGAGCAGGCCTGGGAGATGACTCGAGTCCAAGGAGGCTAAGGACTGTCGCCGGGCGCAGCCCGTCGCCTCAGCCAGAACCGCTCAGGCGGCAGACCCCCGCGCCGACATCCACAATTCCCGGGGCAGCTGTGCTGGCCTCGCTCCTTCCCGTCTAGCCCTCTGGTTACGGCCCGTCCTAAACCACCTCATCCTAGTCTGGAGACTGCACCCCAACAGCTGGTATGTGAGAGACCTTGGATAAACACTGAGAAGACGGCCTTGAATCAAATCTCATTTACCTCAAGATCCATCATGGGCCCTGGCTGGCGTGGCTCAGTGGATTGAGCACCAGATTGAAAAGCACAGGGTCGCCAGTTTGATTCCCTGTCAGGGCACATGTCTGGGTTGCAGGCCAGGTCCCCAGTGGGGGGCGCGTGAGAGGCAACCACACATTGGTGTTTCTCTTTCTCCCTTCCCCTCTCTAAAAATAAATAAATAAAATCTTAAAAAAAGAAAAAGATCCAATATGGGTGTCAATCCCTCTTCTTGTTTGGATCTGTCCTCAAGCACGAGAGCTCATGACAGGTCCACCTTTCACTTTTGGAAGAAAAATAAGCCATGAAGGGCACGCCCATCTCACTGGCACTCTGGGCCCCTCGGAGGCGGTGCAGCACCACAGAAGCATCTCCAGGACAGGGATGGGTCTGTTAACTATTAGCTCTGTGGGCCTGGAGAAGAGTCTCTGTGTGGCCCCGCCCAGCTTTCTGTCCACGACCCCAGCTTATTCTCATCGCGTTCAGAGGCCTGGTGTGGACATGGAAAGCACACTGTTGCATCTGTGCGACTGTGGGACTGGCAGGATCCTAACAAAGATGAGAGTCAAGGTTCAGGATGCCTCGGCACACTGGAAAGCTGAGTGTAAAATAAGATCAACTGTAATGGGGATAAAGGTAAAGTACTGCATGAAGATTTAAAAAGAAAAGGGGGGAAAAAAAGAACTGGATAGGCACCTGATGGACAAGACCTGAACTGGCAGTGAGCTTGTGATAAAGGTCCCACGACTTGGGTTAATCCAAGTATAAGGTGAGCTGGCCGCAGAGCATGGCTGTAAGAAAGCTAACTAGTCTCAAGCTACAATACAGTGCTACAGCATCCCAGGCTGGTGGTAGAATTTTTCATGAAGAGCAGACCAACGTCTCCGAATGTGGGTGGCGACAGCTCTTCCCCCCTGTACGTGCCTGTCAGTCCCCCACCCAGAAGCAGAGTCTGTTGCCCCGGCCCCCGCACCCGGGCTAGCCTGTGACGTGCTTTCACCAATGGGGCGCGGCAGAAGTGACTGTGCCGGTCCCAGGCCCAGCCCGAAGGAGCCTGGTAGCCCCTGCTTTTGCTCTCCTGGAGGCCAGCAGCCCTGCTACAGACCACGCCTGGCCAGGCCACTAAGTGAGGACAGGCCACGCGGAGGGAGGCCACGTGGAGGAGCACTGCATGTCCCGACCAGGCTCTCAGCTGCCTGTGAAACCACGGAGTGAAGGACCAGCTGCTGCTACGAAGCCCCACCCACACTGCAGAGCTGTGGACTGCGGTCGCAGTGGTTTGTCGCACGGCCACAGAGCACCGGGACGTGATGAAAGGACAATCGGGACCGTGAGGGGCCTGGAGACAAGGATTATGAAGAATGTCAAAGGAGTGAGTTTAGTTCCGAGAAGAGGAAGAGAAGTTTTCAATCCTCAAAGTGTCATGGAAACGTAGCTCTAAGTTTTTCTTACATAGAAAACGCAGATGAGAAGATGAATTTGATGGCCTACCGGTCTGTTCTGATGACCTTGATGACTTCCTAACAAGACCTTACTCTTGTCTTCTCTTCTCTGAATAACTTTGAGTATCTCCTACCTTAGATGATTTCGCTAGCTTCACTAAGAAAGTACAGGCATCTGACATGTTACATAAGAAACTAAGATATACAGCACATTTTGGATTTTACCTTTAGTAATAATCTTCCTCCCCAAAGCTAGCATCTCTTTTCTTCTTACTGTCTACTAAAAATCGGTGATTCCCTGAGAACTCTCCCTTTCCCCCCTCTCTGATCACGCCCCTCATGCCCCGCCCCCTGCTCGACTTCTCTTTCCCTCTGAGGCTCCGCCCATCTCTTTCCTCCCATGATAACCTCTCTGTTTCCACTGGAGCTGCTCTACTGATCTGTCCTAGTCTGCACTTCCGTCGATCGGTCTCTCTTCCCGTTTCCTTGACCACTGGCTTCCCAACGGCTAAACTAACAAACTTTCCTCCATCCTGATCCTCCCAAACCCAGGTTTTCCAAAAGCAAGTATCATCACCTGGTCAGCTGGTAGCTTCCCCTCCCTCCACTCTGGCCGTGCCTGCTTCTGCCGCTCCCCACAGGCTACCTGTCACTGGCTCAGCGGGGCCCTGGGAACGTCAGCTACACGTCTGGGCTGCAGTGCCACCCAGCAGAGAAGGAACGCAAGGCCACCCAGCTTTCCTGAACTTCTTCCTCAGCGACAGCCAGCATCACACTGTGTCTAAAGAAGAGGATCTGTGGAACCTGTGTCTCACGAGCGGCACCTGTGTCAAACCGAGCTGCCTGCCTTCGGTTCCTGACCCTCCTGAGACTCGGTCTTCAGAGCAGGGGCAGCCCTCACCCCGACAGGCAGCTCAAGGGCACCGGGCGCGCTGCCGAGCCAGGGCCGCCTGGTCCACATCGTTTACTAGCCACAGTCTGTTCACCCGCGTGCAGGCCGGGCTGGGCCCTGGCTCTGTCTCATGCTTGGGCCACTGCCCTTTCTTTTCTTCTGGACTCTACCCCACAAGTACTTGTTTCGTTCACGTCACCGCATCTCAAGAACTGGCTACGCAGAGTCTTTGGAACAAAGATGAAAGCAGTATTTCCACAAAACAGACATTTGAACCCTGCCTGGAGAAGCTGTTTCTCCCCTTTCCTTTGCTGCTCAGACCTGAGGAAGTTTGGTTATGGCTTACGGCCGCCCCCAAGTAGCAAGACAGCTGGCTACCCTCCACGAGGCTACTTGTGTGTTTGGGTGACGGTGGGGGACAGAAGCTAGCAAGCCCTGTACTTAGGATAAAAGCTACTTGATTTTCTCCCTGCAGGACTTAGAACTGACCTTTATAACACATGCAGTGTGTACGAGCTCAATGAAAACTCAGGCCTGAAAATGAACAGCCCTACAGACAGAGCCGCAAGCTTCCAACAGCTCCTTCAGCAATGCCGTCCCCGTGTCCTCCGCACACTCACTGCGCCGGGATTCAAGCACGACCGGCCCCTTACTTACCGCTTCCACTTCCTTTAGCACTTTGTGCTTAAGATTGAGGTCCTCAAAAACTGCTTCAATCACCATGTCGGACTTTTCGAAACCCTGGTAATCAAGCTGCCCAGTCAAGTTGCTGAAAATGAAGTCTCTTTCGAATGATGTCAGAGCTTTCTTCTTCACTTTATCATTCAATCTAGAAAAAAAACCCACATTTCCAGTCGGAGGGGAAGAGCAGGAAACGAACGTTTATGGCGTGCCCACAGGCCAGGCAGCACCCCCCCTCCCCCGCTGTGAGGGAGCTCGCACGGTGGAAGGGCTCAGGGCGCTCGAGGTCAAGCGACCAGGTACCAGGTTAGCAGGGCGCAGGGTTCACACAGGTAACCCCGGGCCCACATTACACTTGCTTATACATCATTCTGTTATTCTGTAATCACAATCTTCTAGAGGACAGAGACCAAGAATTATTTCTTATATTCTTAATCTGCATCCCGGTCGATGCCTAACAGCATATTGTAGTGATCGCATAAAACATTAGCTCAAGGTTCCTTCTTTCTCACAGAGGGCTAAGGAGGGTTCCTGCTACGCAGACACTTACCCGATGATCTCTTACTGCCCAGGAAAACAGGCTTTCTCGGGCTTTCATCTGAGCACATTTTCAGAATAAATGGCTGAGAGTTTTCCTCTGAATGAAGAATGAAGTTAAACCCATTCACTATTTCCTTAAAACCACAAGATAATTGCTTTTTAGTGATAAAACTACTTTCTAATGGTGGGGGAAGGAGCTAGCTCAAAAAGCACCCACTTTTATTAAAATAAAATTATCTTTAAAAAAAAAAAGCCACATGATTCAAAGAAGTTCAAAGAAGAATTCAAGCCTTAAAAGTATGGGTTCAAAACTGTTGGTTGCCGACAACCATGTCAGTGGTCAGCAATCAAAATATTTTGAACCAGAAGTTCAAAATATTATTAGTTGCTCTAAATCTAATGCCTAATGAAACCAAATGTAGGTTTGGTTCCCTAGTCAGCAGTTCACTGAGGGACAGTCATCGGAGCCTGATGTTTCTGAGGCAAAAGGGACACCAGGGTACCTGGACCCAAAAGGGGTGGAGGGCAGGAGCTATCTGACGGGGGCTATCTGATCCAGCAAGCTCTCTCTAGGGGGCTGTGTACAGTGCTGTGCGGGGCGCTTGCGGTCTGGTCTCAGGCAATGCTGCACCCAGCACATGCCCTTGCCTTGACTCCGACTCCTTGCCATCTTAAAATGATCTGCCCAAATGGTTAAACCCGGCAGGTCCTGGAAAGCATTATGGTGACAACATCTGAGCTTCGCTGCAGAAAAGGGGTGAAACCATGCTTAAGCTACACAGTCCACTTAAGAAACAAAAAAGGCCCACTCAGCTGAAAGTCACGCGCAGGACGGTCCAAGTGCAGTCAGCTAGCCTATGACAGGGGAGCAGAGAACTGAGCCGAAACCAACCCCCAGTTTGGTGAAGCTGCTGCTGCTGGCTTCTCCTCTGCTGAACAGGCAGTGTGTGTGTGTGTGTGTGGGGGGGGGGTAGGGAATGGGCGAGGGGGAGGGAGAATAATTTTTATTCTTTGCTAATTCAGAAGTAAGATGGAGACAATTTTGTAAAGCCTCGGACACTGCGGAACCAAACCAGTTACCTGCTCCTCTACAGCATCGCCAGTCAACAAACACGAGTTCAGGAGCCCTGGCCCCATCCTGCCTCGACGTGCAGTGGCCCCACGCTGCCTGACCCCCAGACCCAAGCTCCCTCTACAGGGACAGCCCTGCTGCTTCAGTGTGCGCCAGTCACGCAGCTGTTCACATGGGAACTGTCAACACTCACAAACACCGCGAGTTCTAGCCTGACCTCCAAGCCCAAAGTAAATGGCATTTTGAAATACCTAAAAGTTTTTTCTTCCGCACTTAATGATGCTAACGGTGAATAATACCTGTACCAACACAGAGTGAAGGAAGGCATTAGTGTTTCCAAAAATCAAAGGAAACTTCACTATGGAGTATCTCGTTTTCACTGTGTTCAGGAAAAAGGAATCCGTGATGGCAAAAACACCCCCAAAACCGTTCTGACCCCCGGCAAAGGCGGAAGGTGGCCTTACCCTTTGAACACCTGCTGCTGTCCTCGGCTCAGCCCGCCCAGCGTAGCATCTTTGAGCGTCGTCTTTATGCCCTTGTCCACGGAGACCTGGGCGATGCCGGCCCCCATCAGCCCTGCGCCAAGAACGGACAGGTGCCTGGAAGGCAAGGACGGAAGGACTTGCAGCAAACAACCTTTAGCCCTTTCAGTGCAAGTGGGGGGCTGCCCCTGTTGTTATTTAATAAACCAACTGAAGCAGGCACAACAATAAGGCATTTCCCATAATTTTTATCTGTAAGGATATACCTTTAATAAATGACTGATTTTCGTAAGTTAAATGCAAAAATCCACTAGGTCCACAAGAATGGGCCTACCCATTAGAATTGCACACCTGAATCCTATATATAATTTTATTAACTAATGTCACCCCAATAAATACAGTAAGAAAGAAATAAAGAAAAAAGAACTGGTCTCCAGTCATGCCTGAGACCACTGAAAACGTGGTTTATGCCTGAGTCGAAAAAAGTATTTTTGTTTTCCAGAGAAAAGCCCACTGTGTGCAGTGACGTGCCCCAAGACTGGCTGCTCTTCCTCCAGCTCCGTCTTCGTCAGTGATTTTACCGCTTCCCAGTCATCTTTCTTTGCTCCCGAAATCTGTGCCGTTATCACCCCTTACTCAGATTAGTTCGAGAGTCTCTTGGCACTGTCTCTGCTTCCAGACCTCCCCTCTCCCCCCCACACCTGCATCCATGCGCAGTCCTGCCTCATCCCGTCCTGAATTCCTCTTGAACTTGTCAGGACCGCCTGGCTTACTTGACAGTATTTTGGAATGGCCTCATGACCGTTATTTTTGTCTCCTCAATTATATTCTAAGTTTTTTGAGGCTCTGTATCTGGTTACTTCAGTTTTCTGTAGTTCTGGAACAATATGGACAGTCCCATAGTAACTAAATAAATTTTTTTCCCCCACAACAATTTCCTTCATAACAAAAGGCCAAGTTTATAGCACAGTAGACCTAGAGTTATACTGCAGGATAAAATTTCATTCCTAACAATTCTGATTATAATAAAAAATAGTCATATCCATGACCCAAAAGGAAACCTAATTTCAAGTCGTGGGAGCATCTTTCAAATGTAGTTTTAAAATAATAAAAGTACTTATACAATGAGTGTTAAATAATTGGAGAATGATGAGAAAATAGGGTGGAGAAATATAAAGAATAGGGCCGAAAAAAGATTGATACATTTACTGCTTCAAAATTTAAAATTTATTTCATAAATGACTCCATCACTAGGAAAGCGGGGGAGGGGGGCACACTTTTTTCAATGCTTTTTATTAAATTTTCAACTCAACCTATTCTGCTTTGGGTGCGTTATAGTCCATTCTTCATTTTTAGATGGTATTACCTTTTCCTTCAATTTATTTCTCCAGTTAGGCTGACTCTTAGATCACATTTTTCTACCCATTTAGTTCTGAGTTTTAAATTTTGATTCAGGTGATTTTGTTTTCTTATCTGCAAGTTTGGAAGTGTTCTGTTATAAATTTTCTTCTTCACTGTGGATTTTTTTTGGGGGGAGAATTTTCATAAGCTTAAGTATGCTGATTTTCATTTTTTTTCTTCTTATGCTCGTTTTACATGGCCGTTGCCTGCCTTTTTGCTGTACCTGGCACACACCATCACCTTCTCCAGGTGCACACACTCGTAGTGTTACAGGCAGACAGGAACAGGAGTCTGGAGCAGCTACTTAGGTCTGTAAATCGAAGAGCACCCTCTTCTATTGCGAAGCGCAGCCTCTCCCTCTTGTATAACAGAAACTAGTAGCATTAGCTGTGCTTTGTCTGTGCTGTGCACGGGGAATGGGTGGCCCTGTCGTCCCTGTCCATCTGTGTGATTTCTGCAGGACCCGCGAGCAGGTGCAGATTCAAGTGGCCGCCGTCAACACGGAAGGAGCTGACCTCGCCCACTGAACGCAAGATGCTGCCTGTGCTACATGAGGCCAGCGCACCCAGAGGATGCTGGATGCCACGTGTGCCGGGCAGTTACAGCCGCAGTTCACAGTCTGTCTGGAAACCTGCCCTCTCATCTGTCGTCCACATTTCTTGCCCATTTTACCTTCCATTTTGAATTGAAATCTCCTTGAGGGTGAAGGGACAGAGACAGTGGTAACAGTAGCTGCTTTTCTTAAATCCCTCACTATAATTCATCTAGAAGAGTATTTCTCGACCTTGGCACTCCTGACATTTTGGACCAAATGATTCTTCGCTGTGGGGTGAGGGCTGAACTCCAGGATGTTTAGCAGCATCCCTGGCCACTGTTTGCCAGTGGCATCCCTCCCTCTCCACCTGTGACAACCAAAACATCCCCAGACACTGTCAAATGTCCCCTGGTGAGCAACGCTGCCCAGGCTGAGAACCACTGAGCGAGACGGTGAGTTTGGAGGTATTATTAAATGAAAAATGCTAAAGAGCTCGTTAGGAAGCGTAACATCGAAAGGCTTGCTGCAGAGAATACATGTGAAACAGGCAAGTAGAGTCTCAGATGCTTAGGTTGTAAGCAAAAAGAAGAATGAGCCTTTAGCAGTTAGAACAAGGCTTTATGTTCTTTAACGGGGCAGAGGTGTGAGTTCCCAGAAATGGCATCTGAAGTCACGGGGAGAGACGAGATCAACCAACGGCACAGTGTGCGTGTTGGTTCGGGAAGGGGGCACCTAGACCAGACTCTCAGAGAACATCAGTGGCGAGACAAGGGAGCCTGCACAGGAACCACCAGGGAGGGCTGGAGAAAACTCGGCACGGGCCGCACTTTCACAGCCAAGAAGCACCTGGTAGGAAGGGGCACCGAATGTGCTCAGGAGGACAGAAGGAGTTTACAGCAAGTTGAAGATACAAACCTAGCTCTGTAGACCCTCACACACGGCTGCGAGCTTAGCACATGATGAGACCCACGAGGGCTTCCCGGGTGGAGTTTAACTTACTTGACCTCCTTCTGCGGAGTTCCAAATTTATTCTTCTTGCACACGACCTGACCGTGGTATAACCCTATCAAGGCCTTTGATTCTTTGGTCATCGCGAGCTCGGCAAATTTCTGAAATGTGAAAAAGGCACAAAAAGAGGCAGAACGTCACAGTCTCGGTTTCTCTGGGAAGCAGAGGCAACGTGTGCGAAGCCGCAGCTCCTCAGGTCGCGCGGCGCCTGTGCTGCGGAGTCTGTCCCCACGGGTGTCCCTTCCCTGCTTATCTGCTGCGCTGTCCGACCGCTGCTCTGACAAGGTTTCGGATGCGGCTGCGCTCCCGTTCTCTACGCTACCGCCGTGGTGACCCTTCTCATGGAACGGGGGTGTCAGAGCCAAAATGGATCTTCACGATCCTCTCAACCCGCCCCTCCTTCTGAGGATGGGGAAGAGGAGGCCCAGAAAAGTTGAGTGACCCTGCTCAGAGTCACGCTGCCTCAGAGTGGCAGAGAGGGAAGGTGGACCCGAGCGCTATGACGTCCACCTCCAGCTCTCTTTCCGCTGGCCTCTAGCAGGTGCCTCACGTGGTGCCCAGCCACTTTAAAGAGCCCCATGCCACTTACGGAGAACAAGTCTCAACCCAGTGCGGGGGAGCATGAGATTTAGGGCCTGGGTTTGACAGAGCTGGGTCTGAACCCTGGCTCTGCCATTTCCCAGCTGTGAAGCTTTCTTCATCCTTACAGAACAGAAAAACAATGCCTATTTTACAGTGTGGGGGGGACTGAATGAGAACACCAGTGAAATGACTAGGGTCTCTGTGTTAGCTATTGTCATCAGCAATAACACTAGAATTTATTGGTATAATTACATGGTTTCAAATAGCATTTCAAAGAAGGAATCCCTCTAATAAAGTTGCTATTAGGTCCTAATAAAACATTAAACAATGTTCTACAGAATGAATGCTTTACTAATCTCGACTTAGTAGGTTTTATTCAATAAACCAGTGATTTTCAAAAAGATAAAAAAATAAAGAAAAAACCAGCGGTTTTCAAACTGTGGGTAGAAATCCATTAGTGGTCATGACTGTAATGGGTTGTGCTAAGCAGAATAGACAGGAAATAGTGAGTATGACACTCAGAATTTTGATTCATAAAACATGAATCCATTTTCCTGTGCAGACAGCTACGTACAGCTCGTTGTGACAGGAAAGGAGGAACCAGAAGTACACGGCATTAAGCAATGCAATGAGGAATAAGCAATAAGCAATGTACTTCATTAAGGACAGGACATGTTTCTTCTGGAACCTGTCCTAAGCTCAATGAGCAATAAGCAATAAGCAATGTACTTCATTAAGTACAGGACATGTTTCTTCTGGAACCTGTCCTAAGCTCTTTGCAGACCTTTTGTCCTATTATCAAAGAATAATCATTCTTCAGTGATTGCTTAAAACTTAGAAACAACCCAAACCACCTAAATGTGCCACATCGCTGACTCAGAAAATGCAAGGAGTGAGGCTGGTTCCTGTGTCCCTTCTCTTCTTTTTTTTTAGTGGGTACGAAACATTTCTTTTCATGTTCTCATTCATCAGAGAGAGGCTGGGCTTCAAAGTTTATCTCTAGGCCCTAACAAGTAAGGATGGGACATATCTACCAATGTTTTCATTTTATCACAACGAGACCGGCCTGACCACAGAACAAAACGTCCACGCTTCATTCCGAAAGGACTGTACCTCTGCCCCCGCTCTCCCTTGTTATTTTCACTACCTTCGTCATTGAGAGCAAGTTCAAATACCTGGGGCCACCAGCGCTCTGTTGCAGCTACCTGCCTGCTGAGATCTACCGGGAGAAATGTTAACCACTAGAGAAAAAGGTTTACTAGGCTTTGGATGCTTTTTCTTTTTTTCAGTTTTCTACAGTTTTAGATCTTTGTGTTTTTTGTATCTGATAACAAAAAAAATTCGGAAAAAAAAAAAGGAGCTTTACCTGAGATTCAGCAAGATAGCCAGCCTCTTTCCCTTGTTCAAGCCCGGTTTTCACCACCTAAAAAACACACGGAACATCTGTTCACTGTTGGAGTTGGACCGGCAGGATGCATGAGAACGCGGAATAAAACCACTAGCGGTAGTTTTGAAAGACTGGATTGGAGTGAGGAAAAGGAGAGGACTTAGTGCCTGGTGGCTACTTAGGCCGCGACTTCCTTCTCTGTCTCGGAGGCTAGAGCCAAGCCCATCAGAAAATGGAAGGAAATAAACAGAATTTAAAAAAAAAGTCAGAATAGGAAAACAAAGAGGTTCTATAGCTCGAACTCCACCTCCTCATCCACCTTTGAACCCTACTTTTTTGTCAGAAAAAGAGTCGTGCTGCCCCTTCCCAAGTCCGCTTGGACAGCCCGCCCAGCCTTTCGCCCGTCCTCCACGAGCCAGCGGGCAGATCCCCAAGGCCTCCCTCTCCGGCCTCTTCTCCCTCCCCGCTCTCCTCCTCGGACTCCTCGCCCAGCTGACCACATTAGTCATGAACGGGATGAAACGGAATTTAACGTTTGGGGTGAGTTCCAGCCTAAGTGCAATGGCAAACAGGACAGATGAAGAAATGAGCCCGCACTCAATCATAGGAACTTACGGGAATGACAAATTAGAACAAACACACAGACCTACACCCTGACTGACGTCCCCGTCTACACTACTGATGCCTGAATTTCCTCAAATACCTACACTCAGCACTTCTCAGACTTACCCCCTGTCTGCCTTTGGTGCGTCTCTCACTGCCTTCCTGTCTTTACTGTTAAATCTCAGGGTCTTGTTCGAACTTCGAGTCGGGGTTGCCAAGGTGGCTTCCGAATTCACGGCTCTACTTTGTTTCTCTCTAATCCATTTTCACTCACTACCATGAAAACGGTTCTCTGTGGTCTATACAGAACCAAGGTCAAATTTCTTTATGCATTACTGACCGGCCTTCTAAAATCTAGCTTTGATCTGCTGTTCTGCGGACACTTCACTGTCCTCCTACAAAAACTGACCTCATTTTAGGTCCCTTGAAGAGCCTACCATCTCCCACTTCCTGTGACTCTGCTCACAACGCCCGCTCTGCCCGGAGCCACTTTCCCTCACCTGCTCCCTCCCCGTTTCCCAGGGCGCAGGCCAAACCCCACTCTTCCAGAGCTCTCTGGCTCACGGTGACTGTCGCCTCCGCTGTGCACTCAGCAACCTTCCTCTGTCCCAACTACCTGGCGAAACTCCGACGCTGCTTTATAATGTCACTTCCGCTGTTGTCTGCCTCACCACATACCCACGTCCCATCTCCCCAGCCCGGACTGGGGAATGAATGGAGGTAGGGGATCACGTTTCATATTTATGTACCTTGGTGTCTCCTGCTCAAGATATATCTGGAGACTAACCCAGGCTCTAATTCTGAGGTCTTCAGTGATATGCTCTCTTAATCTTAGATTTTCCAGATCGAAGAGTTCTGTTGACAAAAGTTTCTTCAGCCCTATGATCATTTCACCTGTTCTCTTTGTTCTGTTCAGAACCTCTCAACATCGTTACAGCTTTTCTGTAATTATGGCAATGAGGAAGTTCATGAGACACTGGAGGTACCGACGATGGTTTTGACAAAGGATAGAATACAGCCACCATTTTTTGTTTCAGCTACCTTTTTGTAAATGCTCAGTATTTGACTGGCCTTGTCACACTGACATGACATACGTTCCATCCTGGTTTATAACTGACAGTTTTAAACTCATCCATCAACTAATAAGTATGTGTTATCCCCGAATACATCAGTTTATAAGAATCTCTACAGCTTGCTGTATTCTTCCCTTATTTTTGGTAGGTACTTTAACAGCGGAATGAAGAACTTCTGTGCTGGCACACGCAGTCCAGCGCGGCCATGAAGAGCGCTGAGCTACACCAAGGGAGAAAATGCATGGAACCTGAGAGTGCGGGAAAGAGACTCACGTCGATTATCTTCAGAGGCGCAGGATAAAGGCCTTTGGTCTGCTTTCGTACTTGTTCTTCCACCCTTTTGTACACTTGTTCCCTGACGAACGGAATACTCATGGCGAACGATGTCAACCCTGGAAGGTAAAATGCTTTTAGATACTTACTGGCAATGACCAAATTCCTTGTCAGTTTGTCCTGTCAACGCCATAAAAATGCAGGAGTTGTAGCTCTCTGAAAGAACTGCTCTTTACTCTGATGTACAAAATCTAAACTTCAATCTAAGCACTCCTTTAAACATAGTTTCATTAGTTGATAAATTCTAAAGCTAGGTCTTGTAGTATTTTCCTTTTGATTAATGTTAAAAATTTTCCGAAGAAGGTTTTAAACAATGTTTTTAACTAGGCAGTGCAAGGATCAGGACCTGACCCAGAGCAGAGGTGTTGCAACCCTTAAAGCTGACCTCAGGCTTCTCGTAAATAATTCGCTTACCTGTTCCTCACTTAAAATTCATAGCAAATAAAGTTAAACTCCTTGCAAAGAAGCATTGCCTTGTTTTTTAACAACAGCACTCACTTTCCATCAATCCCTTGTTTCTCTTTAAGGAGATTTTCTTATCAGCTAGTCCTTTGGCAAAAGTAACTGCAACTTCTTCTAGGTATTCAACTGTCCGTTCCTCTGGAGGTTTGATTCCTGGTCCTGTAAAAGTGAACAACAGACTGGGATGCAAACCGGGCTTAGATCAGTCCCAGGGAGGCACACGCCCAGCTCGCCAAAGCCAGAGGCGCTGGTGCTCACTTTCAGCACAGCTTTCTGTGTCAGTCAGGCCAGAGACCGGAAGGGGGAGGGGTCATGGACTATGCCTCCCAGACGGGGACCTCTGGGACCGGCAGGTGAGGACGCACTGCACTCTGGCCACAACAAACTTAAACTAGCAATCCATAACAGGAAGGTACCTGACACATCCCCCAAATACCTGGGAATTAACACACTTCTAAATCACACGTGGGTCAAAGAAAAAATCACAAAAAATCAGAAAATATTTTGATATTCAGGGAAGCGAAAACATAACACTAAAACATGCAGATAAAGAAAGCAATGCTAAGAGGGAAATTTATAGCTTTAAATGTGTATGTTAAAAAGAAGGCATAAAATCAATGATGTAAGGTTCCACCGCAAGAAACTAGAAAAAGAGTAAATTAAATCCAAAGCAAGCAGAAAGAAAGAATGATCGCCAAAACCAATAAAATAGCAAACAAACATACCAGAAAAAATATCAATGAAACTAAAAGCTGGTTCTTAAAGAAGATCAATAAAGTTAATACATTTCTAGCCAGACTCATAAGGAAGAGACAAAACATGTATTATCAATGTCAGGAATGAAAGAGGAGACATCATTCCAGAGTATAAAGATATTAAAAGAATAATTTTGAAATATTATGAAAAACTTTATTGCAATAACTTTTGTAAGTTAAATCAAACAGACAAAATCACTGAAAAACATACAGCCACAGCTCACTCAAGAAATGGAAAACCCAAATAGCCCTGTATCTATCAAGGAAACTGAATTCATTGGTGAAAACCTTCCCAAAAGAAAACTCCAAGTCTATGACTTAGAGTCGCTAGTGAATTCTATAAAGGATTTAAGGAAGAAAAAATACCAATTCTACACAAAGTCCTCCAGAGAAGAGAAGAGAAGAGAAGATTTTCCAACTCATTTTATGAAACCGGCATTATCCTGATAAGAATAGCAGGCTATTAGAAATATCACGAGAAAACTATCGCTGAGGCCATTACCTCTCATAACCAGACATAAAAATCCTTTACACATTTTGGCTGATCCAGCCAACAATTCAGTACATCACGACTAAGTGGATCTTATTCCAGGAATGCAAAGCTAGTTCAATACTCAAAAGTCAAGGTAACCGACGTGACCAACAGACTAAAAAAGAAAAAACCCCACGCAATCATCTCAGTAAAAGCAGAAACACTATTTGACAAAATTCAACATCTATTCTCAACCAAATATAAATAAAAGGGAACCCCACAATCTGATCAAGGGCACCAAGAAAAAGCTACCTAGCTGACATTACACGCCCCACAGCATCGGGGCGAACGCTTCCTCCTGACGCTGGGGCACGTTAACCGCAGCCACCCTCCCACTTCTAACTAGTGTCACACCAACAAAGGTCTGAGCCACGTGCAGCCGGCCAAGAAAAAGAAATGAATGTCCAGATGGGAAAGGAAGAAGTCAAAATGTCTTTGTTTGTAGACAACGTGATTATTTACGCAGAGGGGCCTTAGGGATCTACAGAAAAAGCTAACAGAACTAGTCAATTTAGCAAAATCACAGAAAACAAGGTCTATGTATAAGAATCAATTATATTTACACAGTAACTAATAATGAGAAATTAAAGTAAAAAAGTAAAGTAGGAAATACTTAGGCATAAATTTAACAAAGTGTGGGCAAGATCTGTCCAATGAAAAGGAGGAGACACTGCTGGGAGAAACTGCGGACGGCTCAGCCAGAGGCTACACCACGTTCCCGATGAGAAGGCTCAGCATCTGAAAGATGTCAGTCCCCCCATCCGACACAGTGGACCAGTGCAGTGTCAGTCAGAGTCTGCGCAGGGATTTTCACAGATAGGGCTACGATGACTATGAAGTTTATATGAGAACGTAAAGAAACTAGTATAGATGAAGTAATTTTGAAAGAAGAGAACCAAGTTAGAGAGGGTCACACTACCTGATTTCAAGCGTTATTAAAAAAACACAGCCATTAAGACAGCGTGATACTGGCTTGAGTAAAGATACACAGGTAACTGGAAACAGGAAATCCAGATATAGATTCAAACACTGAGGGTCAACTGGTTCCAACCAAGGTGTCCAGGTAGTTCAATGGGGAAAGAGGAGTCTTCCCAACAAACTGTGTGAGGACATTTGGATATTCTTATGCCAACAAATAAACAAACAAACAAAAAACACCCTCAATCTTTACCTCACATCATATACAAAAATTAACTTGAAAAGGATCATAGACCAAAACGTAAGAGCTAACCTACAAAACTTCTGGAAGGAAACGCAGGAGAAAATCTCTGTGATCTTATTAGAAAAAGATCTCCTAGATGCAACACCAAGAGTATGATCCATACACGAGGACCTTGGACTTCACTGAAATTCAAGAATTTCTGCTCTGAGATAATGAAAGGCAAGCCACAGACAGGGAGAAAATATTTGAAAATCACGAATCCCATAAAGGACTTGTATCCTGATATATAAAGAACTCTGAAAACTCAACAAAAAACAAAACCAAACCCAAACAAATGGGTAAAACATTCGGACACTTCACCAGGAGATACAAAGAAGCAAATAAACGCATGAAAGAAACGCAGTGTCTTTGGTGATCAGGAAGGTACAGATTACAACGACGAGATAGCGCGACACTCCTATTAAATGTCTACAATTAAAAAAGACTGGCTATGCGAAGTGGTTGGTAACTGTAATAGAACCCATGTTGCCAGCCCTCAAATGATGCCGGCAGGAGTGCAAAATGGTATTACCACTTTGGGAAAACAGTTTGGCAATTTCTTAAAAGCTAAACACACATCTATCACATGGTCCAGTCAATCTACTCTCTGATATTTGTCAAATAGAAATGAAATACAGGTCCGCATTCAGAACAGCCGCAAATGGGAAACAACCCAGTGTCCATCATTTGGTGAGTGGGTATACAAATCATGGTGTATCTAGATAATGGAATAACCCTCAGCAGTAAGAAGGGACAAACTGCTGATACATGCAACAACGTGGATGAACACCAAAAGCGTTACACTAAATGAAAGACACAAAAACCCTACATACTAAAATGTTCTATTGTATGATCGTGATTGTGTTTCCACAGTTACATACATTTGTCTAAATTCAAACTGTACTTCAAAAAGTGGTAAATTTATTATTACGCAAACAACATCTCCATAATGCTGATTTTTAAGAAATAAAAGAGGGTGATGAACACATAATCTAGAATAGTGATTTCCTTGGGTGAGGGGAGGCAAAGATATTATATGCGGGGAAGTAGTACATTAGGAGGTGACAATTATTGTTAATATTCTCAGGTTGTTTCATGAGTTTATTGAATTATTAAAATAGAAACAGAAAAGGAAGGTGGGCTATCATGGATAATGATACAGGTAATTTAATAACCAAAAATAATGACGATTCAATTCTGTACTCCTGATGTCCAAATTATAAATAAAGTAAACCAGAAATTCGGGTGACATTGAAATGTTTTAGTATTATAATTTTTAGGAAACTTCACTCTTCAGAGTTTGCGTTTCAGTCTAATCAATATTCAAGATATTAACTCCTTAAGAAAATAAATAAGTGTGTAAGACTCAATTCTAAGGCACGCCCACTCTTACCCAGCGGTTCCACTAATTGGTCAACCAGTCCCATTCTTTTTGCTCTGTCTGCACGGATGTTCCTGCCAGTCAGCATCATGTCAAAAGCGGAAGGTATGCTCACCTACCATGCAGGCAAGGGTCAGGGCACAGAGGAGAAAGTATCAGTGACAATTACAGTTTACAAATCATTCAACTGAGCAAAATAAATACTCAAGTGAGAAAAGGCAAACCAAATTTTTGTGCTATTTATCACATTTAGGTAACTTCTGGGATTAGGAATCTTCAGCTAAAGCAAAAATGTCTTTATAGCTCTTCTTTTAATTCAATATGCAAGAGTTCTATTAATACAATTAATAAAGTGGAGAAATAATTTCACGTATCCTAAAATTGTGTATGCATGGCATTCTAAGTGTCTTCTTTATCACATAGTACATAACATTTAAAATTCCTCTGTGGGAACTAGTAGAGACTCTGAGAAACCTGGCTGTTTTGACAACATCTTTAGAAAGGGTTTTAGGCTTAACAAAAATTGAACTCAGCCAAGAGTTTCTTATGTAGGTACTAGAAGAATGGCTCCTAGCAACATTCAAACACCAACCACAATAAAACGACAGAAACTCAGCAGTATTTTCTACACGCACACTGGCTAATCAATCATTCTTTGGATAAATCTTCTTGACAATTCCCATGAAGACTATTCCCAATTCCCATGTACACTATTTACTATCAGGGAATTAATATATAAAAACCTTCTTCCTATTTTTCTGTGCCCACCATGTATCAACTTCCCTCCAAAGAGTGTTTCTGCTGAGCCTTGCTTTCATCGAGGAATCTATGGCGCCAGAAGCTGTGAGGTTTGGCGAGCTCTGGAGTTTGATATTAAGATCGCTCTGCAACCTCCAGGTCTGACTGTCCTCCTCCTCTCCTTAAGAATTCAAGACTCTAATGGGCCTCTTTTGGTTCTACAGAATGTGACGACGAGATCATCCAAATCGGAGAAAAGGTCTGCTCCTTCTATTTATTATGAAATGTGACCCATGGATTTGCAAAACTGGTGAGGTGGTACTGTGCACGGAAGGAACAGATGAAACTATAAGCACCAGAGAGGCAAGACATGCATCTTATTTATCTTCATCCTTCTTCAGGGACTAACAAAGAACCCTGAGTAGTAATTATAATCAAGAAATTGAAAAAAATAAATTCAAAGTAGAATTGAAAAAAATAACCAAAAACAGAAATCTGTTCTTGATCCTAAATATTAATATTTTACTTGGTTTCTAAATTCTATAGTAAATGCACATGTTTATGCCTTTTGTATGAACAAGAACAGACCCAAAGGGGCACATAAGCACCAAGGTTCTGAAGCTCGCAGGACGGTTTACACTCACCAGTTTGGGCAGTCTCTGTGTGCCTCCCGCGCCTGGTAAGAGGCCCAGCAAGACTTCAGGGACACCCAGTACTGTTTTCTTATCTTTTGTTGCTATTCGGTATTGGCATGAAATGGCAAGCTTCAAACAAATGAAAGGAAATTAGAATGTTAGAAAATGTAACTTTACAACATGTTAGGATCTGCAAGGGTTTAAAATTTACTTTTTTAGCCCTGGCTGGCGTAGCTCAGTGGATTGAGCGCCGGCTGCAAACCAGTGTCGTAGGTTCAATTCCCAGCCAGGGTACATGCCTGGGTTGCAGGCTATAACCCCCAGTAACCGCACATTGATGTTTCTCTCTATCTCCCTCCCTTCCCACTCTGAAAATAAATGAATAAAATCTTTAAAAAAAATTTACTTAAAAAAAAAAAGATTTTATTTATTTTAGAGCGGGGAGAAGTGAGGGAGAAAGAGAAGGAGAGAAACATTCATGTGAGAGAGAAACATCGACTGGTTGCCTGTGGTACTGACCCTGCAACCCAGGCACGTGTCCTGACCAGACCTCCAACCGGCAACCTTTCGCTTTGTGGGACAATGCCCGGCCGACTTGGGCCATGGCAGTCAGGGCAAAACACGACTTCCTTAGGACAGGAATGTGCCCACAGAATAAACCGTAATTCCTTAGGCTGGCATTTGATGCTTTCCACAATTTACCTTTCCAGCTTCATGTCATACTTTTCCCTTAATTTATCAAGGTCTTTTTGGGTTGCAGATTTCCTGAAAATTCTGCTGAAAGCTATGGAAGCTCTCAGTGGAAAAATGCACACACAACCGTGTATGTACTGCAGGTTAAGAGGCCCTGTACCCTTGAGACTCTCCTTTTCAATAGAGCAGGCCGACTTAGGATGTCCTAAGAAGCTTCACTTATCCTTGCATTTGCCCACACCTCACCATATGCAGAATGCTCCGGGTAATCAAAATCTGCCGATCGCAGAGGGCCAGACACAGGTTCCCCTAAGTAATTATTGTGAACGTGTCCAGCATAGAGCCCTGTGTGTGAGAGATGCTTGATGACTGTCATTTTCTTTCCCCCTTTCCTTTTTCCTACATGCCCTCGTCTAGTAAGCATCTCTTCCATCAAATCTTTTACTATTTGCCATCTTTGCTGCTCACAGAGCACTGGAGTGTGCACTAGGCTTTGTGTGTCTCAGCCAGGCTTAAGCAGATCAAGAGCACACTTCATACTTCTGAATCGCCGCCTTGCAAACTTGAACCCGGTTTTCAGAATCAAAAGGGACCTAAGAGATCTAGTAGAGATCTTCTGTTTATACATGAAAACATCACACTTTGGTTCATATGCTCTGTGCCATGAGAACAAGGATTAAAACAGATCCAGAAGTTTACTAAGTAAAAAGAAAGGTGATTCTCCGAGGACTTTTTTTCTGGCAAAAGACTGCCTAAAGTTTTATCGCTGGAGCACCCTCCCGACGAGCTGAGCAGTGCCTCCGTAAGAAATGCGTACGTACCTCGAGGCCTCCTCCCAAGCAGGATCCACTGATGGCCGCCACAATCGGCTTCGTAGACTTCTCGAGTTTCTCAAACATCCTCTGACCTTCCTGTGATAGTTCTCTCACCTCCTCAGGGGTCTTGCAAGAAGCTATCATGCTGCAGTGAGCACGGAAGCAAGAGCAGAAAAAACCCGGAGATGAGACTGTGGCCTCCGCTGTCAAAGACCTCGTGCACTACTCCCTCATCTGACCCTACGTCGGTGCGTGCTGGTGCACCTTCGAACACTCAGAAGTTTAAGAAAGGTTCTGCCTCAGCACTAGAATCAGTGACACCACCGTCTCTCTCTACAGAGTGCTAAGTTTCTGGATCCAGAGAACATGAAACAGGACGTGTTGCGCAATTTTATTTTCATCCCCACGAACAAATCATTAGATTTTGAAGCTCTGAACATGAGAAAATCATCTTCTAGTAAATACTTCCACTATCAGATGAAAGGTTTGTTTCTATCAGGTAGGTTTCAGATTAAGCAGCAATCCACATCACAGAAAAAGAAAGCTCTCAAATCGATGAGAGGGATCTAAAATCTTAAACAGATCCCCTGATGACCAAAAAAGATCTGCTATGATAAAGGAATCAGTGTCCTTTAATTTCAGTTTGCTCCATTGCCCGCTTCTGTGTTTCTGAACACATTTAAGCTGTGACGTTTGCACCCGTGCCCAAAGACAGCCAGTTTCCTGTCATTTTACATCCTGGGCACCGCTCAGCTAGCTCGTGGGAGCCACAGTATTTCCCTACGGTTGTGGCTAGCTGCAGCACACCAGTGTCTCACTGGGTTCAGATAAATGAGCTACAAGACAAAGCATTTGATACAGATAAGTCTTTCTAAAAATTAAGCATTGAATAGAACACTTGTAAATTTCTAATTACATAAACAAAAAAGGGCACGCAATGCACAGCATGGTTTAAAGATATACAAGCACTTTAAGGACAAATTACTAAGCTGACAATATTAGTTTCCATTGCCTAAAGTACAAAGAATAACAAATACCCATATTTTGGCAGAATTAACTGTTAAAATTTAACCCATTAAACTAACACTAATGTAGCATTTCTCCTTATATATGCGTTAAAGAGTTGTAAACAGGTTTCAGAGGCACACAGTCGATCATTTCACGAGGGAAAGAAACTCCTAGCTGCATCAGTCAAGTCCCCTTTGACACGCTCCTTGGGGCCTACCGGCCACTCACTCGCCGGGAACCGCCGCGCTCAGGTCTGTGTGCGTCCACCCTCCAGGGCAGCCACCCGTCCGCGCCCACAGATATTAGAGAAGTGTTTCGTGTGTGGTTTAAAGACCTTTACATAAAGTATACACTGCGTGAGTCACTCCATAGCTTGTCTTTTTAAAAAACAACTTAACATGATGTTTTTGACCTCTAGTATTATGTCGTGGATCTAGTTAATTCCTTCGAATTGTTTTATAGCATCCTGTTCCACATTTTCCTTATCCTTTGCCCTAATGACGGACAGTTAGCTTGTTTCAAATTCTAGTTTAGGCTACACAGGACTGAACACCCTTGTACATGGGTCCTTAAGCACAACGGGGAGGGTTTCTCTAGCGAACATACCCAGAAGAGGTATCATTAGATTTTACGATACCTGCAATTGCATTCTCACTAAATGCTGCTCAATTGCCCTCCAAAGTGGCTGTGCCGACAGGCATTCCTACCAGTAATACATTAACTTTTTCATTTCCCCAAGAACTTGCTAACATATTTTCAAGCTTTTTAAGTGGTATCTCATTGTTAGTCTAATTTCATAGTATTTTTGTATTCTACTCAAACAGGAGTTTGACCTGCTTTCAAATTCTTTAAGGAAAGTCTGTATTTAGTCTTACATGGCTTAAGCAACCAGTCCCACCTACCTGCCGCCCCCCCGGCTTTTAAATCAACTTTATTAAAACTTACTTGATGTCAGCACCTGCCACAAAGCAGCCTGGCTTTGCTGAGATAAGGACGGCACTTCTGACTTGATCATTTGCCCAGATTTCATTCATTACTTCTAAGAACTCTGACTGTAGTTCTTTATTCAGTGTGTTTACCTGTCGAAGAGAAATACATATAAATCTAAGGGTTTAAATTTGAAGAACCAGATGCACAGGCCACCATCAGCTGCTATTTTGATGGTAGGAAATATGTTTATCCATCAGAAATGCACTGTTCGAAGAAAGAGAGGCAGTGGAAAAAAAAATCAAATACCCAGTGACTGTCTATTCAGGCAGTTTTGATGACTATGAGCAACCCCACCCTTAAAAGCAAGTCCACTCCAAGGAGGAACCCAGGGTCACGATCCTACGAGTTTCCAGGTTATAAGTAAGCCTACAAATATTGACTGGCGTGGAAAAAATTTACATAACATTAGGGAAAAAATCAAAATTAGGTATATAGTGTGATCTTAATTCCATAAACACTTTGTTGAAAGTGGATTAAATGTTAAAAGTAGTTATTTATGGGTTTGAGATAGAAGGGATTATTCTTTCCTTCACTGTTTTAACATGCCCTACCACAGCTGCATTGTTGGAACCACGGGTCAGTGGGCGCCAAGAGCTACTCTAGAGAGGGGCCCTATCCGCTTTCCTTGACTTGTGACACTTGTTCGCTGCTTCCACCGAGGTCCTCCCATTTCGTCTAGGCCTCTGGTGCCAAGAGTTCTGGAATACGACATCTTTACGGCAACTTTAGATGGGGCTTTCACGAGCCCCTGCGATAAAGCTCTTCTTGGCAGAGACCAGATTAATGCTGTGTGCTTTGCTGAAGTTGCCAGAAACAAATACAGCTCCACTTTGCACAGACCTGACCTCCTTTCTATGAAGCACACTGAGTGGTTCAAGTACCTCGGGAAGCTTGACGACCACATTTAGCCCAGCCAACTTGTGCACAGTCACCTCCGTCAGGCAGGTAACCAAGAAACCAGGTTAAACAGTCTCACAGTTAAGGTGGTCAGTGTTGATTTTCACAGACAAAAACTGTCCTTTGATTCGTATTTAATAAGTCAACTCTTATCTAATCAGTCATCATTCCACACTGCAGCAGGCGGCTAGTTTTATTAATCCATGATGTTAATCTGACACCTGAGGTCAACTAGAAAGAATTCTTAAACACGGACCTCTGCTTCAGAAAACTCTATTCCTGTGGCAACCTGTCAAACTAATTTAACCACCGAAACCGTAAATTCCTATGAGAAGGTACTGCCAGACTGGTGGGTTTCTGTCTTTCCCGTGGGGACCACGTTCACAAAGGCAGTTAGTAGAAACGAGCCGCAGCGAGTTAGAGTAGGTACCTTTGAGTTGGGGGAGTTAATTCGGACAACTGCCACATCCCCTTTGAGTCCATAGTTAATATGGGTTCTGGCTAAAAACAGAAAGAAAATCATTTGTAAACATTTTTTATTGCTAGATAAATCTACAAAGCAACGTAAATGTGTTAGTAAGAAATTAAACTTACAGAGCAATGCAGACGACCTTGTAAAGTTGCGGCAAATATAACCTGTAAGAAAAAAAAGAGTTCAAACTTAATTATTTCACAAAGCGGTATTTCCGGAGTACCTGTTATACGTAACAGGAAAACAACATCAGAACAATGTGTTCCAGGCCGTACTGTGACCACTGTCATATCTTTGTTTGTTTCAATGACCAGGTCAAACGATTATCTGGATACCAAGTGTGGGAGGAAGAAGAATGGCTCCTCGAAGGCGTCCATGTCCCTAGAAACTGACAGTACGTGAGGTCACACGGCAAAGGGGAATCAGGGTTGCTCACGAGGAGACCTTAAGTGTAGGATGATTATCTGGGGTTACCCAGCTGGGCCCAATGGGACCACGAATGGAGAGAGAGAGGCGAAGAGCACCAGAGAGATGGCAGCACGAGGAGGACTTGGTCGCATTTTGCTGGCTTCGAAGAGGCTGAGAAATGCCGGCAGCCTCTAGAAAAGGCAAGGAAACAGATCCTCTCTTAGAGCATCCAGAGTGAACGCAGTCCTGCCAACACCTTCGATTTGAGCCCAGTGAGACTCATTTCTGACATCCGTAACTGCCAGAGACTGAATTAGTGTCTGTATTGTCTCAGACACTCAATTTGAGGGAATTTGTTATGGCTCTGATAGGAAATGTATACACTAAGAAACAACTTATCTACAAAGTAATCCACAGTGTCAGTTCCACATGTATTCCAAATGTATCTCAACCGTGTTCTTCAGCCACATCCTCTTGCGTTTTTACGGAGAGATGGAGTCTCCAGTGTTATCAAAAGTAAAATCAAGGGGCACTAGGGACTAATAAATAAAACAGTCCACATCACTCTTTGTTATTTTAAGGATTTTCAATGAGAAAAGTCTACACGCTCGCCACCAAAGACACTTTGTTATCTGGGGATGACGAGGACCAGCCACTCCCCTTCCTCTTTCCCAGCCACTGCACCACTTAAGGCTCTCCAGCACGCTGCTGCTGAGACGATCTTCTGAGCAAAAACCATCACAAGAAGTCCCAACCGAGGGTCCTCCAATCTGGACTCTGAGCAGAAGGAACAGACACTGGGGAATTCTAGGGAAAAACTCCATGTTTGCTCTGGGCATTACCTGACCTCCTTTCTAGCACTAAAGGCTCACCTCTGCCGTGCTCTCATATGCACACCTGGCTCGAGGCTGTAACCCAGCTGCTCCGAGGCCAGCACAGAGTTAACACTCCTTATTACAACTTCCAACCCACCCTGCTCTTTCTTCCCTCGCCTTTCACATGTATGGTCAACCTCAAACCCTGTCTCCTATATACCTCTTTAACTCCTACTCCTCCCTACACACATCTTCCAGATCTTGTCCAATCGTCATAGGAAAAAGTTTTCTGTTTCTCTGGGTCTAAAAATAAAAACAAATCGTCCCTTTGTAACTGGCAACTGTAATAGCAGTACACATGAAACACTTGTGCCCGGGAAAAGGCGTTGAGTTTGAAAGTAATATCGGATGCGGTAAAGAACTAGTACTTAAATAATAACCAGTGGTTTCTTCAGGTATCTCCTCTAATTATACCAGCTTTCCCTAAATATTATTTAATTTTTATTACTGGCATTAAAACTTTATTTCTTGCCCCGGCTGGTGTAGCTCAATGGATTGAGTGCGGGCTGCGAACCAAAGCATTGCAGGTTTGATTCCCGGTCAGGGCACATGCCTGGGTTGCTGGCCATGACCCCCAGCAACCGCACATTGATGTTTCTCTGTTTCTCTCTCCCTCTCTCTCTCTCCCTCTCTCCCTCCCTCCCTCCTTCCCTTCCCTCTCTAAAAATAAATAAACAAAATCTAAAAAAATAATTAAAAAAACTTTATTTCTAATTTTCATCAAAATATACTACATTTGGGCTACATTAGGGGCTATATAGTCTTGGAATCCCCAAACATAATTTAGGAGAGTGTGGAATGTCTACTAGCTTAGGAGTACTTTTATAATTATTTTTTTAAAGCTAAAATCCCTACAACCCTTGCACCAGTCTGTGGCTGCCTGTCTCTCTGTGCCTGCCCTCTCATTCTTTAAATCCCTCCCTCTGTCTGGCACGGCAAACCCAGAGTCTAATAAGACTTTGCCTTAGTGTGCAATGCTAATCAAGAACAATGGACGATAAAATCAAATGACTTTTGGTCGCTTTATGTTATGGTGATATTCTAAATGCAATTTTAGAAGTCGACTCGACCAAAAGGTCTGTCTACGTGACTTAGGAACAAACTCTAGAACCACACCCAGTTCCTGAGTTAGAATGTCCACATCTGCCCAGGCGGCAGGGACACCTCTGGGGCGGAACACTGTTGTACAGGGCCAAACTGTTACACACGAGACAGCTATTTAACATATCCAGCAGGTCTGGGATTCCCAGAGCAGCCCTGAAAAGTGATTCCAGAACCATGCTGGGTATGAGAATCAGCCGGGAAGGCTCGAGTATACTCACAAATCCCTGGGTGACAGATAACCTGGGGTCACAAAACCAGAATTTAAGGGGAGTGGGCCTCAGCATCTGTATTTTTTTTAAAAAGTTAACTGAAGTAGACAGTAAACATGTGGGCACATGGAGACTACGGATCAGAACCCACGGACAGGGGAGTGGGTTAGGAGAGGGCCATAAATAGTAGCCAAGGATCGTGCTAGTTTGAAAGGCAAAGCAACACGTTATTCAAAAGGAAAAGAAAACCGTGTAGATGGCACCAGAACCACAATGATGTGATCTGTGGTTCTCGGGCATTGCTTCTTCAAGCAATCCAAGTCAGGCCCCTCTAGACTAGCAAAGATGAGGGGCCTGAAGGTCAAAGGCTTGTGCTCGACCGTCAGGTTTATCATTTACTAGCTGACTGGCCACACACAACTCTCTTAGTGCATTTCAGTGTTCTCATAAAGAATACAAGTCACGTAACGATTATGAGTTTCTGTAAGTCACAGCGCTACACCAAAGTAAACGGAGAGAAGCAGCCAGCTACTTCCTCAATCCCCTGTGCCTCTGCTTGACTAATGATAATGCTTCCCTTCTTTGCTTTTCCATCGCTTGAAATCTGCATCATCTGTATTTTTCACTCTTCCTTCTTTATATTTGTATCCTGGCTCCAAGCTTTCCCACAGAGCCTTATTTCGAGATTGTCTACAATGTTCTTTCCCTTCTCTGCGAAAAATCTACTGTTTTGTTCTCTAATCACTGTATCTGTAGCAGGTGTTTCCCTTCCTGAACGGTCGTCTTTTCCAACATCACCTCACAGTCACTCTTCATGCAACAACAAAACATGCACTGTGCCCTACAAAGTACCACACACTCTGGGCACCTGGAGCAGGCAAAGACAACAGTCCCTGTTTTTGTGGAGCTTGCAATTGTATGGCAGCAGGTGAAGTGATATCTGGGAAGAGTTAGTTCCTACTCAGTAGGGATAAATAAGAGGTGAAAATAAGCCTGGCATAAAAAGCAGGTTGCCAATAAAGTAGAAATTTCAGCGGGAGGGGCAACTGCCTAGAATAGGCAATTCTAACTCAAACAGGGTAAAGCGGATTCAAGTGGGGAATGGATTGGCTGGGAATGCAGAGTGGGAGGGTTGGGTGAAAAGGCAGATTAAAAAACAGAAACAAATATGTAAATATGCATGTTAAAAGATAAGTACTTAAACAGAAAAGAAAATAGAGCTGGGGGGGGGGGGCGGGCCTTGGGCATGGATTGCTATTTGAAAGACCAGATATTTGAGAAAACAGGTTGGTGCTCATTAGCTTGTATTTTAAGCCATCTTAAATTCTTACCCACTAACCTGCCTTCGCTGCCTACACACGCATTAGCATATACACAATACCTCCTCTAAATCAACTGAGATAAAAAACAAAGAGAAAAATCAGTACACGTAAAAACGTATCTGGAAAGGAATTCCAAAACACGGTCAAGTTGTAGTACAACTCGGTTTTGCTTTTGGAAATCTAGTCTTACCTACTACCTAACCCACAGAGCTTACCGTATTTTTTGGACTATAAGACGCACTTCCCCTCAAATTTGGGAGGAAAAAGGAGGTGTGTCTTATAGTCTGAATGTAGCTTACCTGGCTCACTGTGGGGGGGGGGGTGGGGGGTGGCAGTGGAGCAGGGTCACAGGTTATTACATATTTCACCACATTTTTTGCTTCAAAAAAATATCTCCTATTTTCCTCCTCTAAAACCTAGGTGTGTCTTATGGTCCGGTGAGTCTGCGTCTTATAGTCCTAAAAATACGGTACATGAGAGCCGCCCCGTGAACTTTAGCCTATATCTCTCATGCCAGCAACAGAGAGAGAAACCTTTGTCCCACTTTTTAATCATTTTAACAATGTAATTCAAGAAGACACCTCCAAGGGTTAAGACTACAGCAGTTGAGAAAGTCAGATTATGCTGACACAAATTTCAAATATGAAAATGTTACATTGGTTGTTACAACCAACAGTTTTCCTCAACATTCAAAGAGACAGGATCAAGAACATACTAGGATTAAGAAGTGAGGGTTAAATTTAAATATGTCTTCTAAAGTATTTGCCTCTAATCCATTTTCTATGAAAACATTTTACCACTTTTTACAATTCACTCTCTAAACATTTTTTCAAAATTTGTAAATTGCTATTAAAAGTGGCAATATCTATAATGAGCCATAGTTTCTTACCGGTGAAAACATACTGTAAAAATGTATATGTATATATATTTGTGTTAAAAAGTACAAAAACTAAGCTTGTAACCTTTAATTACACATGTAAAATGTAAAAATTCTTTTCAAAAACTCTCAGATATATGAAATCATAGTTCCTCAGGGCAGGAAGTTAGTAATAGCTAACGTTTACTGAGCACTTTAAAAAAAGTGCTTACATCTAGAGTGACTCCTTTAATGCTCACAAGGTGAGATTATTCTCCATTTCACAAGTGAGAACAAAGACAGAAATTAATTGCCCAAGATCATCAAATAGTAAAAGACAGGGCCAGACTGAAATCCAGACTCTTCTGAGAGGGAATTTCTCCTTTGAAAGTAAATTCATAGTCTCAATCATTCATTTTACAGTTGAAGTAAATAAAACCCAGTGACAATAAGGTGTTTGCCCAGTCATGCAGTTAGTTAATGACTAGAAATCACACGACCTGATTTATCAACTCAGCTGCTAATCCATGAGAAGTACCTTAAAACCAATGCAAATGCAAATTCAAAAATATACACCTGATTTTTCTAAAGTGTTAAATCATAAATGTGGAAAACAGGAAACAAAACGAAACTGTAAGGTAACATGACCAAATTCTAACAGTAGCTATGTGAAAAGTAAGAGATGGGTGATTCTTTTTTCTTAATCCCTTTTCCCAATCTTTACATTTCAGTTTTATTGTAGCATTATGATTGCTACAACACACACACACACACACACACACACACAGCAGTCCTGTAGCAGAATAAAAACAGTGGTTGAAATAAAACAAAAAAAGATCTAATCATTTAAAATTAAGCTCTTAGCCCTGGCTGGTGTGGCTCAGTGGATTGAGTGCCCGCCTGTTAACCAGAGGATCGCTGGTTTGATTCCCAGTCAGGGCACATGCCTGGGTTGTGGGCCAGGTCTCCAGTAGGGAGCATGTGAGAGGCAACCACACACTGATGTTTCTCTCCCGCTCTTTCTCCCTCCCCTCTCTAAAATAAATAAATAAAATCTTAAAAAATATACAAAATTAAGCTCTTGAAGTAAAGGGAGACTCCAGCCAGTCTAAAATCAGTACATTACCCTTGAGGTTCGGGAGGAGGAAGGCATATTACAAATTAAACTTCTAATTAAGTCATCAGTATTAAGACTGTCATACAGTAAAAAAATTACTTTTCACCTTATAGATTTGAGATGAGAGAAAAATACCTGAATTTCAATAATCACCCACTTTCACCCTTTCGCCGCCAGTTTGGAGAAAGATGGTATAGCTAATGCAAGCTGATTATCATTAGAAACAAGATTAGAAAGAGTTCTTAAAATTATCTAACATTTTATTCCATTAGATACACGAATGAGCATTTTTTAAAAAATGTTTCTTCTAGCAAATTGCAGAACCTCCCCCTGAAATTCAACGGACTGGGATTATTGGAACTGCACAGTTGAGCTCCCTATTAAAACATGGTTTAAAAAAGACGGTTTTGAGGGAAAGGAGCAGGCAGTGGCAGTCATTTGCAAGGCTGGTTAATTCCATCCAAGAAGCTTTTAAGAGAGCTCTGGTTACGGGCAAGTTGCCGTGGAGGCATAAAGATGTGACAGACCGGAGCGCCCCAGTCCTGGAACTCCCGATCTCATAGGGACAGGTTCAAGGCCATCGTTAAAGAACATCAGAGGAACGTGAGCCCAGGAGTGCAACAGGGAGATCTGCGGCAAGTGCCAGAGCGGGGTGGACAGGACTCAAAAACGTTAGGGGGTTTACGAATCCTTAAGTCGATGAAGGACTCGGAGTCATGAGAGTGGAAGTGACAGTCATTTCCCAAGGACACAAGAGACCGGGGCACAGGGCAGCATCCATTCCCTGCTAATCCAGGACAGGGGCCACAGGCGGGGACTGGGAGGCCGCAGCGAGTGAGAGACCCGGGTTCGAGGCCGCCCACTCTCCGCAGGCGTCTTGTCCGGGGCTCCGGGGCACTCTCGGCCGGGTCTCACCTGGGCAGCGGAGCGTCCTAGAGGTATTCGAGAAGCGTCTGAGGATGCCAATTGCCCGAGAGGCCACCATCTTGAGCAGAAGAGGACGAAAGTGGAAAGAGGTTCAAGTACTGGGGGCCGGGCAGAAGACTTTTCTCCCTGCAGCCTGGCCCCGAGGAGGCGCCCAACGCATTGCCTGACTAAAACCGCGATGCTCAATTGTCACCGGCCGCTTAAACCTGCCCTTCACTTCTGGCTAATGGAGCGTAAAAGACTCTTTCTCCGCTGGAAGAAAGGAGGCCCATCGAGCAGACGGCACAGTGTGGGGTTTTCCAGTCAGGCAGCCGACGGGCAGCCCAAAGGCCAGCGCAATCCGCGGAACCCGCCCGCGGGGGTGAGGGGTCCTTTCCCGGCAGGACCCGCCTCTTGGTCCCATTGCGTTCTGGCTCTTGGGTCAGAACTTTGCCAGCGGCAGGAGCTTGAGCAGACGTCGACGAAGGTGAGACCGAGGGCGTGCTCGGCTTTCCGCCCGGCGTCTTCCCCTCGGCAAGATCCGCGGTTTTCCGCACCTGCTGCTCTATTGCCTGCAGCCGCCTCCCCTGCCAGGAGGAGTGGGGCTCCAGCCAGCGGAAGGAAGCTCCTCGGCTGGCCCAGGTCTCCTGGACCAAATCGATTAGTGCGGGGAATGGGGCATTCTGTCTGTAGCTCCCTGCGGCGGCGTCACTTGGGTTTTAATTTTCCGCCGCCTGTGAACGAACTCCTCGCTGTGTGTGTGTGTGTGTCGGCTTACAGCGCAGGGCTGCGCGGCGGTGTTTGTTGTTTCCCCTGCTTTGCTTATAGCGGCCGCAGAGGCTCAGAGCCGGTCTCTCCAGTTTACTCGGATTCCTGCTGCCAGGGGTGGGACCGGCTCCTGTGACCTTTCGGGATTCGATCCTCGAAGGAGACATCCCCGCATCCTCTTCGGAGGAACGTATCCAGCGCTTCAGAGGGTTTTCCATCCTCGAAGGGACCTGGCCGCGTGTTTATCTGGTCGTTCATCCCCTTCACTTCATCGCTGAGGAAACCCAAGCCCCTGAATGGCAGGGAGTGATTTTACCCGTGGCCGCAGGTGGCAGAAACAGGACTAGGGCCTTGGTCTACCAACTTCTAGTCAGGAGCTCTGCAATTGCACAGTGGCTATTTTTGTTCTGGGAAGATGGTCTTGAGTCCTCATATTCGCTGATTGATTCCCAAAGCAAGTAGCATGGAGGGCACTTTCACGACATCTCACTTAATCCGCACAGTTCTAGAATTATTGTTATTTGGACTTTCGAGATGAAATTTGGGAGGCTCAGGGAGTTTATGTAAATTTTTGGTAGGTGGCAGGCGGCGGCTGGATGCAGACATAAATCTGCGTTTCACTGCTCAGCACATGGAAAGTTCCACACGAGAGGAAGCGAGACGGGGCAGGGGGAATTGGCAGGGAAGTTGAGGCTGAAAAAAGTGTGGAAAGAGAGATTTCTTTTTAAAACTCAGGTCAAATAGCGAGTTCTGCATCACTCTGGGCACTGTTGACAGAAATGGGATGACCCGTGATTATTTACTTTTCCAGAAAGGATTCTGGGTGACTCCAAAGGCCCTCTAACTGATAAGATTTTTGTGGCACTTTCGATTCAGATCAGGGGTGGCAGCCTTTTTCTGTAAAGAGCCAGATAGTGAATAGCTTAGGCTTTGCAAACCCCCATTGACTGCTTGTCATAAATTGCTTTGTTTTGCTCTGCAGCTCTTTAAAAATGGAATAACTGTTATTAGCTAAAGGCCCATGTGTTATATAGTTTGGCTCATGACTTTTTCGTTCCCTGTATTCTCAATAAATAGTGAACTACATCAAGGCAGAAATGTTATGTTTCTCGCTATGGTTTATATAGAGGGAAACCAAGTACACGACCCACTAATATTAATAGCAAACACATGTATGCCCCTTACTATATCAGGTATTATTCTAAGTGTTTTTATACATATATTAATTTATTATAACAACCCTATAAAGTAAGTACTGGAATTATCTACATCTTACAGATGCATTTTACAGAGGAATTATCTTAATTCTAAAACAGAGAAAGGTTAAGTAATTTGTTTAAAGTCATACAACTAGGGTGGAGCCCTGATTTGGATTTAGACCGCCTGGCTTTAGAGTCTGTGCTCTTGAGCATTACATCGTGTCTTAATGATAGCGTAACCCGGAGCTGTCGGGGCAGCTCATCTTGTCTTCTTTACTTGCCTAGCCCCTTCTTTCCTTCCCTTGTTCCCAGGTCCCTGCAACTTCGTTCAGCTTTCCGTAGCACCACACTCAGTAGGGCCTTAGACTGCAGTTTCCACGCCCCCCAAATCCTTGGGTCTGTTTCCTAAAATGTCTGTTTGGTAAAGTCTAGAGCGAATGACAAGGGTCAGCCCTCCCATAGGGTAGTTTGCCTATTCCCTTTTTCTTTTGAAATCTCTCCTAATTTTTTATTATTGATGGAATGTATATTCTGTGTAATTTTTTTTTCAGAAACTATGGGAAAGTCTGAAGAAAAATACACCGATAATTCCACCACTCAGACCACAATTATTAACATTTTGATATGTAGTTTTTGATCATTTTTAAATGTAGATTTTAAATAAAACGAGCTGTACTGTACGTAAAAAAAACACTCATTGTAAAAATTCTTAAGAAGTCAGAAGAATATAAAATGAAAGCCCCTCTTTATCCCTCCCATGTATAGACTCAGCCTCATGGACTTAATTTTTTGTCTGTGTCATAGGGAGTCTCACTGTACATGCTGTGTTGCAGCTTATTTTTTCATTTACTCCATGTATCTTGGATATCTTTACATGTCAGTGTATATATATGTATCATGTTTCATTTTTCTTTGAAACTGCTTCACAGTATTTCATGATCTGCTACTATAGTAGGGCTTTATATTTTCATTATTTTGAGACAATATCAAGCTTATAAAAAAGTAGCAAGTGTAGTACGTGAGTTTTTTTCTTATAGCAGTTGAGAGTAAGTTGCTGACGTTGTACCACACCATCCTTGAATATTTTAGTGTGTATTCCCTTGAAATACAAACACACCTCAAGGCATTCTGTATAACCACAATACAAACTTAAAAATCAGGAGATTAATATTGGTGGCTACTGCCTCTTACTACTGTGGATCTTTGTGCAAGTTGCCAATCCCTGTGTGCCTCAATTTTCTCATCCCTTAACAGAGGGGCAATAATCACGCCTACTTCACAGGTCATTGTTAGGACTAGAAGTTCATGCTTAGAATAGTGATTTGTGTACTATGAAAGCTCTGTCGGTGTAGTTATAAGAATATTAGAGGAAGGATAGTTGGTAATAGATGAAATTTTACAGCATTTTACAGTAGTGATGGGTGAGGTTATCCGAGATCGTGGATTACAATATAGCTGCAAATTACTTGAATAACCCGGGACATGTGTTTGTCCTTTTCAGATTTCATCATGACTTCCATCTTGACTTACACTTTTAAAACCCTTCCCAGCACATCACAATGGGCCTTCAGATTTTGTAAGTTGAGTTTGTTCTTTTCTTTTTTAACATTAGGTTTGGATTTGTAAGCATCTTACACAGACATTGAATTGCATTTTTTTTGGTAAACACTTTATTTTGTCTTCCAGCTGTAAGACCTCTAAGCTGTTCCTCCCAGCTACAAGCAGCACCAGGTACTGTAATTTGTAAAATAAACATCTCTGAATAATTTTTATTTAATTTTTTTTAATGTACTGATTTGAGAGAGAGAGAAAAATATCACTTTGTTGTTTGTTTATGCATTCATTGATTGATTCTTGTATGCGCCCTCACTGGGGCCGGAAGGGCAACCTTGGCGTGTAGAGATGATACTCTAACCAATCGAGCTACCTGGCCAGGGCCCAAAACATTTCTGATTTGAATGTTAGATTCTAGATTTGCGAATTCTGAATGAAAACCAAAACTAATTTGCTAGATTTCCCCCTTTCATGAGCAACATGAATATCACTATTGCTCTTAAATTAAAATAATGTAAGGCCAATCAGTAATGGTGATGCGTGGTGTAGGGGTGGGCTCGAGGTCGGTGACAGGAGGCTGCACTCAGGGGTTTGGAGCCGATGGAGTTACGGAGGTTCCCTGAACCTTGCTGGTCAGTTTATTCACCACCCATTGGCTGTCAGTCCTGGAGATGATTAGCTAACACCTTTGAGACTGTTGTTGAGTCACAAGTTAACATTTTAAACCTGCAATTAGTGATAGGCTTCTCTGTTAAAGGATATATCTTCTTGTCCCATATACAAGAGGATGCATTCTTGAAACAGGGACAACTGGGAAACTAGGTAATACAAAAAGGTGGTTTGGTCAATGTGAAATGTTTGAAGTAATGAAATGAAAAAGTAAGGAAATTTGTCGATTTTTACATGGCCATTTAGGCACTTGGTAAACCCAGTGAATTAGACATCTTCATGTTGAAAACATATTTTGCAGAACCTGCTGTAGGCATGTATCCTCATTGGCCAAGGCTAAAAACGCCCTAACAAGTTCATCCTGTATTCTCCTTACCAGGTGTGTGTCAACCTGTTGCTTCTGGCTTTGGTTTTATCAGGGATGACAGATAACTTAGTAGAAAAAGCACCTCACTGGGGCTTAGAAGGCCTCTGCCCTGGTTCAGTTCTTCCTTTTTCTGGGTAATGTAGCCTCGTGCTGGTCACTTTACTTCCTTATGTTTTAGTTTCTTTGTCTTAAAAAAACCCCAGTAATTCTAGTTTTGTTAGAATTGCCTGAGTCTCCTTATTTTTAAGGTAGTGACTGCTTGTTCAAAATATGAACAAAACAGCCTAAATAGAATAGAACTAACAGACTCAGAGAAAGAGTCTGATGGGCATAGCTTATCACTTCTCGGTGGATGACGTGGGACTACTCTGCGGATTGACTTTTGGGGGTCCGTTACCCGTCCTGACTCCGATCAGCTTTGCTCTGGACTTAGGGACACGGTGTGTGTGGCTGCTTCTGGCAGGGACTGTAGCAGGGCAGCACCCTTTAGAGGGGGCTGTGGGTGAGCAGGCATTTCCAAATATGTCTCTCCCTTTTTTGTCTGTACAAAGCTGCACATATGTCATGGCTGTCCTATCTGCACCTCCCTTTTCTTCAGAGCTTTAGTT